GTAGCTCTCCACCTGATGCATCCAACGGAGTAAAGATCTTTCTCTTCCTCTGCTTCCACTAGCGGGTACTGCATCGCATACTTTCAAACCTGGAGTGCTCCCATCCATTCGTAGCCGCTGTCTCTTCATGCGCGGAACTATGTAAATATCATCATATAGCTCGTACAGCTCATCGTCCCATCGTCTGCGGTATTCGCCGTTGCCAACGCGCAAGGACCATAAATTGTTCGCAAAACTTTTCTCTCGATAACTCCCAGAGCCGACTCATCAGATAGTGATATCGTCCACGCTTCGGCGCCATATAGTAGGACGTGTAGGATGATCGACTTGTAGAGTTTGGTTTTCGTTCGCCGAGAAAGCACATTACTTTTCAATTGCCTGGCTCAGTCCAAAGTAGAGCATGTTGGCAGGGGTGATTCTGCGTTGGATTTCCAGGCTGACATTGTTGTTGGTGCTAATACTGTCGAAGGCTGCTTTAAAATCGACAAAGAGGTGTCAATTCTCTTTTCACGGGTCTCTTCCAAGATTTGGCGCATGGTGAATATCTGGTCAATGGTTGACTTACCAGGTCTGGTGTCACACTGATCAGGTCCAATCACTTTGTTGACGTTGGCCTTTAATCTTTCACACAACATGCTTGATAGGACCTTGTATGCGATCTTAAAAAGGCTTTTTCCACGATAGTTGGCGCATACTGTGGGATCGCCTTTTTTGTGGATTGGGCAGAGCACACTTAAGTTCATCCGACCATATTTTGCAAAGAAGCTGATGCATGCACCTGAGCAGTTCTTCACCACCGTATTTGAATATCTCCGCGATTGCTATTCGGACTTCTTCACAGTTGGGTAACGGAACAACTTTTCGTCATCAATTGGAATTTCCAGTTCACCATCTCCGGGTGTTTCGTCTCAAAACAAGAACAACTTGTTACAAATAATAATATTATAATATAATTGTTGCTTTATAACCGCTGAAAGGATTTTCGGCCGATCAAAAAATTATAAATAATTCTTATATTGGCTATTTTCAGAGCGGACAGATAATGCAAAGCAAAAAAGAATTTAATAATTTCATAGCAATTTTATTGTCATTATATCAATCTTTCATGTACATGAAATCGTATATTGACTTCGGTCCGCGGTATGTTAATAAGTACCAGAAGGACACCCCTAAAAGTGTATAGTGATTGGCGCCGAACGAGGTGTTAAGTTGGTTCAGCCATGTCTTTCTGTCCGTTGGCTTTTGCACTACGATAACGCCCCTGCTCACACATCGTTGCTTGTGCGCGACTTTTTGGCCAAAAACAACACACTAATGATTCCGCAGCCACCGTATTCCCCAGCTCTGGCCCCCTGTGACTTTTTCTTGCTCCCCAATCTGAAGAGGCTCATGAAAGGACGACGTTACGCTACGATTGACGAGATAAAGACGGCATCGAAGGAGGAGATGGAACAAGATAAAAAAACGATTTTTTGAAGTGCTTCGAAGATTGGAAAAACCGTTGGCACAAGCTTATAATATCTCATGGGGATTACTTTGAGGGGGACCAAATAGATATTTATGAATAAATAAATAATTTTTGAACACACCTCGTATATGTATACGGCAGATTTTTCCGATATGAGATTTTGGATCATAAATCCGTCGAAGAGTATTTAAGAGCGTAAAACTTGATATTAGACAGGCCATTAATATGAGAAAAAATTTAATTTTTTGCTGATTATCGTTATTTTTCCCTTTTTGTTAATCAACATAAATTATTGTTCCAAGCCATTACGGGTTTCCCTTATGGAATAAAGTCCTTAACGAAAGGAAATCCCTCAAAGGTTGAAGGCGAAATCCCTCAGTCGTTCTATATTTCTTCTTTTTCGGTCCATATTTTCCTTTTATTAATTGTTTCTCATATTTTTTTTACAAATATGGCAGAAAAGTGTCATTGTGAACAGTTTAGTTTATCGTAATTCATCGAAATTTATCGAAAGAGCCCATAATACCAAAGGAAAATTTTTTCGATCAGAGTTGAAGATCGAGTGTAATACTGAAATCTTCAAATGAACATCAAAATCGGGAAACTTTATCATATAGACCTCTTTGACCAATTTTTCAGATGGGAGGATTAACATTTAATTCTTAATTGAAATACCATATACGGCATGGCCGAGAACAGCTCTTCTTTCTTGTCTTATTTAATAAATGTTTCTAACTTAAATCGAGAGTTAACTTCACATCAGCAAACCCTGAAAAATCTAAGATCTGCCTATTTCCTAAACAGACAAAAATTCATCAATTCAGCCCACCAGCTTTAAGGATCAAGATTATAATCTATTAAGTATCTCGGTTTAATGGTTGATGAAAAACTTAGCAGCAGAGAACATGTCACAAATGGGTCGCCCTCGGCAGGGAATGCGAACCCCTCCGAGTGTATTTCTGACATGTGAGTAAAAAGCTCCTTATAAAAAAACCATCAACCGATGAAGGTCGCTCGATTTATTGGGAATCCACCAATACACAAAATCACTAGTTGGAGGAAAATCGCTTCGGCGGTTACAAATTATATATATATAAGATACACACTAGCTTAAGGAGCATTGGTGTTGTGGACGACATTAAAGAAAAAGTACTTAATGAACACCTGAAACGTGCTTGTCTACTTGGTATAGCAGGCGCAATGAAGACTACCTCAACTAAGGCCCAACAAGTCATCCTTGATATTAGGCCAATTAAGAAACAATGATGTATACAGCGAACCTACTTCTTTACCTTATAGGGAAACAGGGCAAGGCGGCCCAACCGCTTTAACGGGGAAATCTATAATAAAGGCCAAAAGCGTTAAAACGTGCAAAGAGGCAATTAACGGAGTATTGCAGAAAAACACATTGAATATTCCTTGGGTCTCAGGTCACACTGATGTACAAGTCAATGAAAAAATGGATGAGCTAGCTCGCACTGGCGTCCTGGCGAGGCTATCACCATCGACTGGCTTCAAATGTTGTTTAACACAATGTATCATATAGGACCACTTAAGATCTCTCCTCAAACGTGTAATGAGCCTGCTCAATGGCTTAGGTGCGGCTAGTGGCCAGGTCCTAACCTCCCTCTCTCAACCTGCCAACATTCATTTCAAATAAAATTAGTTAGCAAATTGTTGCAAATCTTTGGATTACCTAAAAAAAGCTGTTAATTATTCCTTGGGGTACTGTTAAATGAGGTTTAAGGCTCTGAAAAATCGCCAATTATTTGTGTAATTGAATACATTTTCATTTGTATTGCCAAACAGCGGCAATACAATTTTTCCCAGGAGTTTTTTGGTTCTTTCCCTTAGCCATTCGAGTCACATTGCATTCGCAAATGGTTCAATTACTTAGTTTTCATTAAAAGTGAATCATGTAGTCAATAAGAAGTTAAATATAATTCTGAGTGTGACGAATTTAATCTTATTTGTATTTTGAGGCTTAAATAAATTTACATATGTACATATTTATATACCTACAAAGAAAATCACTAAAAGAAAATAAACAGCCTGATGAAATATTTATATTTGCAAGTTTTTGCTCTACAAATTTCGCAGAAATTATTTTTTGACTGAAATTGGGGCAAAAGTTGCAAATTAACCTAAACTTCTTATGCAAATAATGAGTGGAAACGGAAAGAAAAAATAATACGTACATACATATGTATGTAGGATGTGCTCTAAAGAAATTGTTTGGGCAGAAATTACTAATTTACTTGGCGTCCGATTTATGTTAATTTAGCTTCATTTACATGCATTATAACTATCACAAGCACACTTCGTTAGTCTGCCAGCCAACTCAGCCCGCAAAAAACTTAAAGCTACTAGCTGTACATAACAGTTTATGTATGTATGTAACATGAGTGTTTTTACGATACAAATGTGTGAATTTTATTGCCTGTTACACGTGTAGTCTCTATATAACATACTTGTACATATGTATGTACGTATGTTCATCAATTACTTCGACTAAACTCAACTTGATCATAAAGCAGACGCCGCACCTCCTTTCCCCACATACATTTGTATGTATGTATTTATGTACCTACATATATATTTATAAATACAATGTGTTGGGATTTTAAATTATTTATAACAAAGCGTGACTTTTACTATTCGCATGATTCACATTTGAGGCGCGTAATTTTGCAGCTCTATCTTTTATTATTATTTTCTCGCGATTTATTTAGTTTTGCTTTATGATATTTTTATATTCGCAAAAATGAGTGAAACTTGCAACGACTCAAGGCAAAGCAAATTAAAATTTATTTTCTTCCACAACTAAACGTTCTTATAAAAACACACACATACAAGATTAAATAAGTTCTATGCATTAAGCGGAATTTAAATAGTATGAAATATATATATTGTTTAGTTTTCCGAAACGATAAGCCAGCAATTAAAATGTATGGCCATAAATTCATATGCTGTATGACATTTGTTTAGTTTTCCGAAACGATAAGCCAGCAATTAAAATGTATGGCCATAAATTCATATGCTGTATGACATTTATAGGCCAGGCAATAAAAATTAAAGTACAAACAGATGTCCATATACACATACTCATGATATGAATATTGATACTTGATGCCTTTACAACAACATAAGCATCTATGTATACTGATGTTCTTATCATGAATATGTAAAGCAATAAAAATTAAAACATAAGATAAGATTATCTATTCGTGGGTAATCTTCTAATGTAAACATACTTATGTACACATATGCATGCATGTAAATTTTCACATTACAAATTTATATAAATAAACGCTCTACAGATTGTGGAGTCAGTTATACTTAAACCAACTGAAAGTAAAGTGATTTAATTCCCGCCTCAACATATATATTAGTAATTGTTTGAGCCATGACCACGCGACCACGTTACATCCCCTTTTATTTATTTATATAAATAACTATCACATTATACATACATATATATGTTTGTATATAAATAAAAAATTTACTCTCTGTATATTTATGTATTTTATAGAGCCCCGACATACGCACATTCTTGCAAATTGCACTGCCCGCAGCTTACACCAAAAGGGATAGTGTCGATCGAGCCACAGCACCTACAGCAACCATTTCTAAGATATATAGCATTACAGCAAATGAATTCCCAGTAGAGGCCAATTCGCAACTGTTACTTACGCAAACATTCTTACCACCTGAAATCGATGAACTTCCACACGAAGCTAGTGATGTTATCAAGCGTTTGTTAGAAGTGGAGCCGAAACAACGTTTGCGCTCAGTTTTATCACTGCAAAAGATTGCACTATACAAGAACTTTAAAATTGATTCAAAACACTTGCTCAATGTAAGAATATTTTTTTTTTATAAATTTTACTTACAATTTGGTTTTCTTTTAGCTCCGTCCAATTGATATGATAAGTCCTGACGACCTTGCTGCCTTTACACAAGACACAGAAATTGATAGCTCCTGGGCTGAAAGACAATTTTACAAATTTTAAATCTTGCATATACATACAACAACACATATACATGTAAAATTTTGTGTCCTAATTTATTTGCTTGAAGAAAAATGCTATTTGATTGAAAAAATTTTCGAATAATTCAAGTAAGTTAAGAATAAACTATTGCATAAATCTCGCAAAGGTGTCATTTGTTTAGGAACAAGAGATATTTATAACTATAAAAAAAACTGCAATTTTATTTATTACTTTCTCGTTTTGTTTTACAGTACATTTTAAGTTAGTCGGTATTATGTTTGAATATTAAATTTCATTTTCGTTCAATTAATAAATTGATGTCACGTAGATAAAGCCGATGCAGAAGTATGGAATGTCGGTAATACAGTTTCTGGCATGTCCGAGCTGGCTGCCACCGGAAGCAAATGAAAAATATCCTAAGGCTTCCCAACTGTTATAATAAATGCAATAATTTTTGAGAATAATTTTTATATTTGGTATTTATATAATAAAGTCTCTTTCATTTCTGTTCATTTCATTTCATAATAAACACTGTTTACTGTTTAAAGTAGGCGTTTTGAAGAAAGATCATGGCGCCGAACTGCATAAAGTTATAGTGCACTTTGTTTTGTTTTTTTCTTACCACTGAAACTAAAGCCACTCCTATTATATTATATACTCGTATAGTGTTATACATATAATTACAATTTGCAATAAAGTAAATATGCAAATACCTGCAAAGGGCAAAAATTGTTCACACACAATTTCCACGTATGTACGTGATGTCCAATTCAAAGCAACAAAAGTATCCGCGTGTAAACAAAGTCATATGTGCCGGATATAATGTGCTCCAAAATAAAACACCCCACAAATCTCTCAAAAAACTCAGTTACTCAAAAATCAGCTGCAAAACGTCAACGTCAATGTGTTTTTCATTAATTGTTAGTGTTGACGGTGTTTTTTCATTTTCGCTTCCCATCTTTGCAATTGAGTTGTTTTTGGTGTGATAGCTATTTTAACAGAAAATATTACTAGAAAATACACGTCACAAAACAAATTCAACTGATAACGCACCTTGGTAAAAAGTGAATGTTTTGGCTTTCCTGGCGTAGGCAATGTGGTTGCCTTTGCTTGGTTTAAATTTAGTTTGGATGAAAAGTATGTCCAATGAACTTGTTCAACACCAATAAACCAAGCTTTGACCTTTGCAACGAAAGTAAACGCATTAACAGAAAAGTACACAAATCAAAACTATTCAGAGAAGTAAATCAATTGACATAACGGCAGTGGGTTAAAATTAGCGGGTGCAACTGGTGTCAACTGTGTTGGCGATTTGTCAGGTACCCTTCCGGTGCTAACAAATTTATTGCTTATTGTTTGAAAAATAATAGGTTTTAAAAAGATATTGTCAACATGGCATTTCAATCATTATTGCGATTTTATATGGAAATACCGACAGTGACACGAATCTACACAACAGCATGTGTTTTAACGACGGTAGCGGTGGTAATTTTTTATGCACATATTTGGTATATGATACAGTTTAGACTAAATAAACGTTACTCTTCTTTCAGCACCTAGACCTGGTATCACCGCTGCAACTTTATTTCAATCCTACGCTTATACTTTGGAAACTACAAGTGTGGCGACTTGCCACAACATTCCTATTTTTCGGTTCAGTTGGGATTAGTTTTTTCTTTAATATGGTCTTCACCTATCGGTATGTAAAATTATTTAAATATTTAATGTTGGAAAAAAAAAACTTCCACTATGGTTTATCCTATAGGTATTGCCGCATGCTTGAGGAGAGCTTCTTCCGTGATCGGACGGCAGATTTTGTAATGATGTTTCTTTTTGGTGGCGCATTAATGGTATTCTTTGGTCTATTTGTGAACTTGCTCTTCCTCGGACAAGCATTCACATTAATGTTGGTTTATGTCTGGTCCCGCCGAAATCCTTTCGTGCGCATGAATTTCTTTGGTGTACTAAATTTTCAGGTCAGAAACTGCAATTGCATAGAGCACCGTTAATTTATTTTTGTGTATTAAAATTTGTATGTTTAACGTTCCTTTAGGCGCCTTACTTGCCATGGGTCCTCATGTGCTGTTCAATGATTCTGGGCAACACAATTTGGGTAGATATTGTTGGAATGGGTGTCGGACATATATACTACTTTCTCGAAGACGTATTTCCATTTCAAGCAAACGGTTATAGAATCCTTAAAACACCACATTTCTTGTATGTTTTACAATTGATTAACTGAAATAGTTTCATATGCATTTCAAAAACTTTTTTATTTCAGAAAAGTTATATTCAATGAACACATCGAAAATAATGTTCCACCATGGGTAGGCGATCGGCCAGGCGGCTACCATTGGGGAGCAGATGAAGCAGAAAACATAGCCGCTCCACAACCAAACGCTGGCGCTGGTGATGCCAATGACGAAGCAAACCAACGACGATAAAAATTATTGTTTTTGTATATTTACCACCCAACGTACTGAAAGAAATGCACATAGTTCATAAAAAAATTAACAGGCGGGGAAAGGGAAATAAATGTCTTAGCACACATATTTATTGAATAAAAGAATAGTGAAAAAGACAAACAATAAACCAACTGTTTAAAAAGACCTGTAACCATTGCATTCTTAAATATAACAAATTTCAAACTTCAGTTGAGATACGGACACACATTATACTTCACATTACATATATATATTTATTCAAGTAATTTATATATATGTACGTAACGCTAAAAGAAGCAAAAAAAGAAAGAAGACCACTTGGAAAACATACAAACCCACCGGAGGAATATGAATAATAGATATACACAGTTTTTATTTTATCTAGTTTCTGTAATATTTATTGCATTTATGGCCTTATTTAATTGGAATTGATTGTAACTACTGGCATAAGTGTGTATTTCTGCACTGTATACGACATGCTTGTCCTTACTTCTTATTTTTGTGTAGCTTGAATCAAGAGGGATGTGAGACCCAAAGATCACAAGTCTAACTAACTGATTGATAAAATTTTTATTTATTATTATTTTTTTTTTTGTAATTCTGATATCTTCCGATTTCAATGGAAAACTCTAAAAATTTTAACTTCTTGAACTGCCTACTAAGTAGCTTTATTCAATCCCATACACAAGTAATTCACACTCACTTGTGCACTTGTTATGTTCACGCGAATTAATGACAATTAAGCAAATGTTTTTTTTTTATTGTTAAAAGACATAATTTGTTTTATGTTTAATATTCAGTCCAAATTTGTTTTTATTTAACTACAATTTCGAATTTAGCAAACATCATAACTTTCGCATATTTTACTGTTTAATAACATACTACAACTACACGTTACTTTTGAGCATTAGCTCCGACATTCTTCGATTATTTCGTTTCTTATTGTTCTACATACATACTTTCGAATGTAATTTTATAATATTTAGTGAAATAATGGATGATAGTGGCTGGTTCGCTGAAATTTCAAAAATTGTTCATATCACAATACAATGAGCACAGAAGAATTGATTCAAGCAAATTCTTTTGGAGCGCTTCAAAATGTTTCAAATTCATTTTTGATTGAAAACATAAATATCTGTATGTACATATGTAGCTATATGCATCTTGTTTGCACAATTGTTTTATAATTGTCTATAGATAATCTAATCTATGCATTATCAATATATATATATGTATATGATTATACTGTATGACGACCAACGCTGCAAATCTTTACATACACAAGTGAAATATACTCAAATGAAATGAAATATAAAAACACAAACTTTTGGCATTTTTTGATATTTTTCCTTTATAAAATTTTATAACCAATGAGGAGAGATGTTGAGTGTGTATGAGTAGCTCTTTCATCACAATTTTTACATACAGTAGCTAAGCCGTAAGAGATGAATGTTATCTAATTAAATAATAATTAAACTGTTTGCACTTAAAAGCAAAATTAAACGCTAAGGAAATAATAATAATAATAATTAAAATAAAAAAATAAAAAAAAATACAAGTACAGAGTTAATCGCACGCAAATATTCACAAATATGCTAAATTATAAATAAGTAACTTACAACTAAATGATAAGGGAAGAGGTATAATTAGTAGTAATAATTATCTAGCATCGCAAATCTATAATTTGTCGTTGTTATTATTGTAATAGGAAGTGGTTTACACACATGCAAAATGTGTGAAAAATACAATTCCTCACACTGACACAAACACTGACCAAATACGACACTGACCGACTGACTGACAGACGAATCACCATCATTTCACTAATTGTGGCCAGCAATCATTATTAGCAGTAATGCCACAGCAAAAAGCAGCCAGCACCGCGGCACAGCACCACTGCATGAGAGACGCGAATAAAATGAGAATATCCTACACGTTTAACAAATTAAAACTAAAATTAACTTAATTTCACATTGCTACAGTTGCGAGTACCACAGTTATATCATCAGGTTTGCCACCTGTAAAGAAAGATAATAAAAACCACACTTAATTACATAGCTATATAAAAACGTATGTATGTACATATGTAAATTTTAAAGGAAGAATGTGAAAATTCTTAATTCAAATATACATTTGTGTAGTTATTTATACGCACCTGTTGCATTGATATTATTGCGTCGGGCATTTATTGCAAATGGCGACATAAATTCGCTGTCAAAAGATAATGAGCGCGCCATCAATGCTAATGAGTTGGCGGTCATCTGTAGTTTCACGGGATCTGTGACGCCCTCGCACTGAAAAAAAAACAGTGCCATAATTAAAACAGCTCTATGTTGCATATAAATTTCAAGTTTCATTTTTTTTTTTATTAAACAGCGATATTCTGCCTTTTTTTTTTGCCACTCACCTCTTTGAGCACATCGAGCAACAAACGCTCGGGCACATTGTCAAAGACGCCATCAGTAGCCACCAATATGACATCGCCCTCCTTAACAGCGAAGCTAAGCGTATCCGCCGAATCGGGACTATCGCTCAACACGTTGTGACCGTGTCCGGGTGGCGGCAACGATAGTTGAAACGGTGTATTGAAATAATGTTGTTGTTCTTCGGACTTGTGAATGATTTCGCCTTTACGTACCACCATAAAACCGCTATCTCCGATATTGGCGGTATAAACAGTGCTATTCTCACGATTCAACACCAGCACACAAGCGGTACTGCTGCCTATTGATTATAATGAAAATATATTATATGAATATATGTACATGGATGAAGTGACTAGACAAACAGCGTTCGCTACTAAGCAGAATAAAATATTTAGACATAAATACATAAATTCGAGCAAATTCAGCTATGAGGTATATATGCATGAAATATCACAGATGACGATGTCAGCAAGCATTCACGCTGCAATTTTACATCATATACATGTATGCATATATGTACATACGTACACATATATTCGTATTCTTGTACAAACAGTCACGCGGTTATACATTTGTAATATGTCTACCGCTCCTATAGGCTGGTACATACATAAATACAAAAAAATTTTCACTTTATATAGATATTTTAAGAAAATTCTACATATGTATATGCGCATATTTATTAACATTAATATAAATTTTAATATATGTTTGTTTAATCTTTTTTTTTGATATATATTTTCCCACAAAAGGAGAGATCAACAGTTTTGAAGACACGTTTTGAATACCTGTTCTTTCTTTAATTATATTATTCCAAAGTATATACGTACATACGGCATACAATGCAAATAAATATGAAAGCGTGTATATTATAATCTGGATCGTATCCAAAATTTGCATCAATGTACAAACATACAAGTACGTGTTAATATATGTATAGTAAAAATCAAAAATAGAAGTAAGCAATTTATCAAAATAACAATGCCAGGTACGTTGATACATACATATATCTGCATACATACATATGTATATATGTATGTTAGAATCTCCAATTTAAGAAAATTTTCACGCATCGAAAATGAAAACAAATAAGCAGAAAATTATTACAGCAAGAGTGTACACATTTCCAATCTATTTTTAATTTTCCAAATTTTTCAATTTTATTTTGGTTTGAAAGCTAAGGGCATAAATAACCAAAACTTGCATGTGACTCTGACGTAGTGATCGTCAACAAATGCGACAAAAACAACAATAGTGGCAAAAGTTGGCAAACAAAATTTTAAACTAATTTGGCGATTTAAAAGCCACATACATACATATGTATGTAAGAATTCTCGTGCGTGTGTATGTCTGTAAATACATTTGTGCATATTAAAAAAAAAACATACATAGATGCATACATATGTATATGAATGCTGGCAAACAAATAAGGGTATCTTATCAAGAATGTTAAGCTAGAGCAATTAATAAGAAATATATATATATATATATAAATTTAAATGCATATGTATGTATGCATATCATTTTAATTGCATATATCTTTTTTTTTTATTTCACTCACCTAATATGGGCTTCTTTTGTTCAAGCAATTCACAATAACTATACGCTAAGAGATTCACAGGACGTTGGGGATTAAAATTAACACAATGGACTAGACGCTCACAAGTCTTCATTAAAAATGAACTGAACTCGCCGGGATCGATGCCGTAATTTCGCCAACCACCAACGCCGTCAGCGACACCTAAGTATAAAGAAGAAATATCAGCACATTGAATAGAAAATATAGAAGATTATTTAAAATTAATTTTAAAGTGCATATTTATTAAGTCACATGTGTATGTATATGCATATATATTAACAGTTGTACCTATAATCTGCTTGCAACTAGAACTGAGCATTATTTTATAAGATCCCAGTGTGTAGCCATTGAATTTGACTGGAATAGTTATGAAAAGGTGTAGGCGTTTAAGATTAAAATATGACCTAATGACCCTATTAAAATATATAATAATTCGTATCTTATCAGATTGAATAAGTTATTATGACGCAAGTAAAAAGGTTTATGTAAATATGTTGGTATATATGTTTATTATTTGTTTACAAATACAAAATAAATCATCATTTTATGGCGCAAAAACGGAGATATCAAGAAAATTATTGAAAATTTTCACCTAATTTTAATTATTATTCGTAATTTTAATTGGCGAAGAACATATATTTACTAACAATAATAAAGGGACATATTTGCAGGGTTAGTAACTTCATTGTATAAAGATCAATAACATCACAAACATAGCTTAACGTAGTGACGTATATGTCTACCACAATTTAAGCATGAGTTGGGTTTAATTTGTGCCAGACAGATAACAGACAATAAATTCGTGTGCATGTACATGTGTATATACATACATTTTTTTATATGAACTAGCATAACAGGTACAAAGTGCACCACAACTAACTGCTGCAATTAAATTTTCCCATACATCTTACAATAAGCGCTTGCCTGAGTTTTGCAAAATCACTGACACAATTAATACTAAAAACCTTTTTCTTGAAATTTTAGATAATCATAATCGTAATTTATAAAACGCACATACATACATCTAAAGAACAATTCATATAACGTAGCAATCAGAGCTTTAATATATTATCTGAATTTTATATGCAAATCGAATTTTATTTACTCGTATTATTTCAAAATACTTTCATACTTATAAATACACATTTTTTTTAAATCGCTCACCTAGGACATCAGCATGGGTAGTTGACGTTTTGAACCACGAATCCTCGCCATATTTGCCAGGCTTATATTTGGAGGTGAGGAAGTCTTTTGGGAAGCCACACACTACAGACACAAAGTGTGGGCGCTGTTTTGAGGCACTATTCGCATTCGCAGTTGCATTACTGGCCGTCTCTAATAGCGTCGAGAATCCACTTCTCAACGCCCGCGATATTACACGCGTCGTCCAACTTAATGAATGCATCAAGAGTTCTGTTCACCTTCGCAGTGATTTTTGTATGTACTTCAATTTATCGAAGTGGTAGGAGTTATAATTGTAGTGGTCTAACTAAGTTTTTCACATTGACAAATGTCAAACAATTGATATTGGGTTTTCTTTAACTTTTCCTGAATTAAAACTTTTCACTAAGAGTCGTTGAGTCGAAATCACAAGTATGTGGTATAGGATGCAAAGTGTACGTAGCGAAAATCATTTCGTTCTCGTGAATTTAGTTGAAGATGACAGTAATAATCGTTGTCCGGAAGTTTCACAGAGTTTCCGCGAGGATACCAAATTGCTATATATAGGCTTATCAATCTCAAAATAACATTTATGTAATATCTTCGTTATAACGCCGTAAACTAAATATCTAATAACGACACAAAAACCAAAAGCATATAAATAATTATATGCAAAATTATTCTCACGTTAGAAATATCCCAGCATCCAAGGACACAATTAGAAAAGGATTTATCCTTAACTACGCGTGAGATTATTTCGACAAAGTAGATCAAAAAAATCCACCCAAAACGAATTAAATTGAACTGGAAAGCGAATGGCAGGGTTGCATGACGATTTCATTAAAACATGTGACATGTCTGGAAGCAAAACTCAGGGATGCTCTGAAAACTAGCAGCTATAAGCGATTATTAGCACATAAATTATTAAAAAGTAAATATTTGAATAGACATCATGAAAATTATCAAAGTAGCTCTAATATGATATAAGATTTTGTCATTTAATTTCTTTCTACCATAACCCCTATTCGAAAAGGTGAGTGATGGCATCTCTTCATTTTGCGTCGATAAGTAAGTTTATCATAAAGTTATAATGTTAATGTACCAGTTAATGCAGTGTTAGGAAAACAGTCGTATTGTGTTGGTTGAAATATTTGCGTCCCTTGTCGGGAAAAATAAGTAAATCCGCCAAAAACATCATTATTATTGCTTTTGATTTTATTGTTTATAGCGAATAACTGGTGATACAGATAATACCGAAAATGAGTACTAACAGCGGCAACATTACGAATGGTGGTGTGGCCCCACCTCAAGATAAACGTGATCTATTGGCCTTGTTGAAGCTTATAAAGAAATACAATCTCAAACAAACTGAGGAGCTACTATGCCGTGAAGCTAATATCACAAATAAGGAATTAGAAGAAGTTAATGATATTGAAATAAACTCTTTGCTTACATCTGCTCTTGGCGATGGACACGATCATCATAATGGTTTGGCAGCGAGTGGCGCAAGTGGGTCTAGCAACGATCCAGAAATATATGAAGCGGCTTATGCAGATCTACGCAACTTTGTAGAGGAGTCCTTGGACATTTACAAACATGAGTTATCTATGGTTCTGTATCCAATAGTCGTGCAAATATATTTTAAACTTGTACAAGGAGGTTTTTCGGAACAAGCACGAAAATTTGTGGAAAAGTATGGTCCAGACTTGGATCATTACTTTCGTGATGACTTACAAAACTTGCTTATGATAACAAAAAGATCCGACCTGGAAAATAACGACACTGTTACAGCTATGGAATTAGACAAATTCGTCATACGCATGTCGCGTGATTCCCATTCCTTATTTAAGCGACACATACAAGATCGTAAACAAGAAGTAATAGCAGATATAGTTGCAAAATATTTACATTTTGACACATATGAAGGAACAGCTCGTAGTAAAGCTCAATGTGATGTGAGTACGGGATCTATAACTGGCGAAGCAAAGCGACAAGATAATAAAATCCGTGTATATTACGGACTGCTGAAAGAAGTCGATTATCAAACATTAACCACACCTGCACCTGCTCTGGTTGAGGAGGAAGATGATAACGATCCCGATGCACCAGACAAGCCTAAGAAAAAGAAACCAAAAAAAGATCCACTTTTTTCGAAAAAGTCTAAATCAGATCCCAATGCACCGGCAAGCGATCGTATACCACTGCCAGAGATGAAGGATGCAGATAAAATGGAAAAAGTGAAAGCATTGCGCGAGTCTTCTAAGCGAGTACCGTTGAATAAAGATTCATTACCATCGGTGTGCTTCTATACTATACTAAATGCACATAATACAGTAACTTGCGCTGAAATTTCAGAAGATTCAACCATGATGGCTGTTGGATTTACAGATTCTAGCATTAAAGTGTGGTCACTCACTCCAGCAAAGCTTCGTGAGATGAAAAGTGCTGAATTACTCAAAGACATCGACAAAGACGCGGAGGACATTAATACTCGTATGATGGATGACCGCACAGGCGAGTCATCACGCACGTTTTATGGACACAGCGGACCGATTTATCGTTGTGCCTTTGCACCTGAAAAAAATTTATTACTTTCCTGCTCTGAAGATACAACTATACGGTTATGGTCATTCCACACATGGACGTGTATAGTAGTATACAAAGGACACCTCTTTCCGGTATGGGATGTTCGTTTTTCGCCTCATGGTTACTATTTCGCCTCGTGTTCGTATGATAAAACTGCACGTCTTTGGACAACAGATTCAAATCAGCCGTTAAGGATATTTTGTGGCCATTTATCTGACGTGGATTGTGTTCAATTTCATCCGAATTCCAATTACATAGCCAGTGGTTCCAGCGATCGAACGGTGAGATTATGGGATGTGCTAAACGGCCAACTAGTCCGACAAATGTGCGGTCATAAAGGACCCATTTATGCTTTAGCATTCTCCACTTGTGGGCGATATTTGGCGTCTGGCTCCTCCGATCATTCTGTGCTTATTTGGGACTTATCACACGGTCAACTTGTATCTTCGTTATTGCGACATACAGGTTCAATACATACGATGTCTTTCAGTCGTGACGGAAATATCCTCGCTGTAGGTGGACTAGATTGTATGTTGACTTTGTGGGACTTCTCAAAGCTAACTGAAGAATATTTGTCACAGAGTGGAGGGTCCTCTCACAATCCTGATCTTAACGATAGTGAGACATATTTGCTACGTTCTTATCCAACGAAATCCACACCATTCTTAGCATTACATTTTACGCGTCGTAATTTATTATTAGCCGTTGGTATGTTCAAGTCTTCATAAAAAGTATCATAAATGAAGTTCAAGTTCTTATTAACTTAGTTTAAGTCATCGGGAACAATAAATATAATTTAGTATTAAACATACATTTTAATATGGAATAAATTCATTTCTAAGCTATACTTAAATTCATTAATAAATACTTAGTTTGTATATTCCATTTGTACGCATTCTTCTGCAGCAACATTAGTGGGAGAGGAACCGTCAATAATGTGGTCATTAGATTCGCTATCCAGTGACGGTTCATTACTAAACATTTCTGTTGGTACTGTGGCAGGGGCGCGATCTTGTACTAGGTCCATAACGTGCTGACGCGATTGTAAATGTCGCTCGACTTCTGCAGCAGACATTTGCATTTGTTTTTGTTGTTCCAAATCTGGAGGCGCAAGGTGCGGAGTCTGTTGAATTTCGACAGTTGGAGGCTTGGGCAGCTGCGTATTTTCAGTCGGCGGGACTTGCTGCACTTTTTTCTTACGCCCCCGGGTAGAGCCACCACTAGCAGCACCACCACCATTTGAGGCAGTATTATGTTCAAGTTTACGCCTTAAATAAAAATATATGTTCTTATTAAGAAAATTAGTTAATTTCCTTAAGTAATACTTACTTTTTAGCTTCGTCTTCTGACGACTCTGTTTCATCACTTTCCGATGATGTGTTTTCAGGCTTCTCATACTGCAACAAACGATCCAATAAAAAAGAGCGGTCGCGAGAGACTTTCAAAAGACGCCGCTGATTGGAACGTAATGCATCTTGAAAGAATTCATTTTCCTGTGCGTTATATGAGAATACAATTCATACATTATACGTACACACATATATATATAAATTAGTTATTATACTCACATATATTAAAAATTTGAGTTTTCGCTTGAGATAACGGTACTGCGTTTTATAATCTACGGCATTCGCAGTACCAGAACTATTTCCTCCTCCATTGCCACTTCCACCTCCCACATCTAGACCTGACTGTGTTTGTTGTTGTTCCTGGCTATCATCGTCTGTACCAGAATCGTCCTCGACATTTGGGTCAGTTTCGTCAGTTTGAGCGGCTTGTTGATTGGCCATTGAACGGCAGTACCAGCCAGAGAGCATATCCTTGGAAAATAAGAAGATTTATAGAAGACAAGTAAGTGTTTATGTTTAAAATTAAGCTTGTATTTTAGCCACCCAAACATATACGTACATAACCTTAACGAAACATCAATTATATATATACATGTGTTCAACCAAATACGAATAAGTTACTATTTTGTTTACTTCTTGCACCGTACTCACCGTGTATTGTAATAATTTCTTCTCAGATTCGTATTTTTATAATTAAATTCAGAAGAAAACACTTATAATCAGCAAACACAGCACATCAGTTAAACATTTTGTTGACATTTACCGAACACTACTTTATCGACTGATTGTCTAACTTCATATAAACATGTATATGAGCTGCGAAAACGTACTTTACTGGTAAAAAAAATGAAACTTGCATTTATATGGTCAGTTCTGAAAAAAATGCAATAACTTTTTTCATAAGATTTGGTTCGTATATTGTGTTTTTGTATCCTTAAAACAGTAAATCTAATGTAAACAGACTTCGATTAAGAAATTTAATAATTTTGATTCGGATGAATGAAATAATCATATAATGCTTATATACAATTCTAATATTCACAGGCCTATTCTCACTGTTACCGGTAAAGCAAATTTTGTTACTTTTCTTTAACACCCGAAATTTGATTTGGTATTCTGGCGAACTGGCTACAATGTTTGGAAAAAATTTGGCAGCACTGCTCTCTTCGTCCATGCCAAATCACAGAGAACGTATAACCAGAGAACGTATAACATAGAGAAGGTGCAAGTACGGACCAGGGTGGAAATTGTCAAAAAGCACGATTACTTCGTTTCACGTAATCGTACCACACTCCTCACATGATTCGCAAAACTTGCTGTTAATTAAAAGAATTGAGCGTAACAGTATGTTAATTTGTAAACATAATGTAAATTGATAACATTGATAAAAATAACGAAAATATCGCAAATTTTGCCGACGGCAATTTAATTTTTGCATATGTACATAGTACGCCTAACTCAACTTAATACAAAATTGAAATATCCTCACTATCGTTTTCAGCAGGTCAATATATCTACATTATACTCATAATTCATAGTTTTATTCCTATTAGAACAGAAATTATTCATATAAAACCTACCAAAATTTGATTGGGAGACATGGGAAGGCTGAACTTTCAAACTGCTCTCCTGAAAACTTTGAAAAATAGACTTACGCAAGCAATCTCATTAGTATATGGAAAAATGCGTTTTTTCTGTTTTAGCTTAGGATTCGCACTTCATCCCTAAAATCTAGAATTTTTGCATTTTGCCCAGCTTACGCAGAGGACAGACAACTTGAATTTACTTGCTTCCCAATATGAGCTAATAGGCAAACAGCAAATTTAACAGCACGATGCCGACTTGCTTCAATTCGGCAGACAAAGTCTGAATTTTTGTCAAAGTCGCAAGAATTTGAAGCAATGCCAGTGTATGCCACATACCAATGTAGATTGTTGTTGCTTCACATTTCGGGAAGATGTACGATTTGCTAATTTTTGTTACGGGACTTTTTATACCCGGCTATACTATGTGACCAGAGTGCATTGGATTTGTTTTGCTAACGGTTTTAAAATAATCAAAGTAAGAATTTATAACTATGTAGAAAACTTCGTGGAATGGTGATATACATTGTTTTAGGAATGTCTGTCCCTCCATCTCTATACACGATAGCTCGAGTAAGAACTGAGATGTCTCATACATTTTAATATCAGCGGAAAATATCGCTTGCACTCGAATTTAGTCTTCCTTACATGTATGAGTTTGTGACCGTCCTGTGAGCAGTGGTATTTATGAATGAACACATTGCTTTGTTGTAGGGCGCATGCGTTTATGAATGAAAATTTTGTGTTTTTCATGATTTCATGTATGTATGGGTCTTTCATATACATACAGTCACCTTTGAATGTGTTTGTTTTTGACTTCAGCTCAACTTGAATTTCTGATTTTTGCAAATTTTGCCATCGTCCCGAAGAAGTCGTTCGTGGATGACGGGGTACAAGGGAAGAGAATTTGCAAGTTTTTGTGCATGTGTCTGTTTTTCGTGTACACATTGTCCTCTTTGAATGTATGTGTCTTCAACTTCAGACCAACTTGAACTCTGATTTTTCTGATATTTTGTCATCGTCGCGAAGTAGAGGTTTGTGGATAGCGGGGTGAAAGAAGGAAGGGCATGCGAGCTATTAAGATTGTGTGCGTTTAACGTATACATATTGAATTGCTTGAGTGTATGGGTTTCCACTTTGTCGCAAGTTCAGCATCAATTTCTAACTTTTGACAAAATTTCTGACCGAAACGGCTTTTTGGTGGAGGGAGCAAGGGAAAAGAGATTTCACAATACTTTGTTTGTATTGGTTATTTGTACATGTATATGAAGCTGTCAATGTATGGGTTTGTGATTTTTGCTCAACTTCAATTTCTGGATTTTTGCAAAATTTGACTTTGACTTCATGAAACTGTTTGTTGATGAAGAGTTGAAGGAAAGAGGGGTTTGCATGCATTACTTGTTTTTGTTGCTTTTATGCTTATTCTACTTTTCTTTATTGAAATCAAATATTCTAGAATATTCTAGAATCTTCTGGAATGTTTAGAATATTTTAGAAATTTAGCACGCAATCCTTGCACACACAATCAATCTCATCTTATCTTGTGGACAGGGTGCATGCGGGAAGGCAAGGAATTTGCTTGCTTGGCAATATGAGCTAACAGGCGAACAGCAAATTTAGTAGCACGATGTCGATTTGCTACATTTCTGCAGACGATGATTGAATTTTTGTCAGTGGCAAAAATTTGAAGAAATGCATGTCGGCAATACATGAATGTTACGGGTCGAAGGAAGAAGGGCATGCATACTACTGTATGTTGTTGTTGCCTAACTTTTCGCGACCATATTTGCTTCCGATTTTTTGTTTTTTTGTCAACGCAGCAAAGAAGCAACTTGTTATGAATGAAAGCACTTGATTTGTTGTAGGGCGCAGGCGTCTATGAATGAGAATCTTATTGTTGTATTTGATTTTAATTCTGAGCTTTTAGATAAGAGAAGTATTTAGAGGGATGGAGTAATTTGTTTTCACATATGCATATGTTTGTACATAATAAGCATGTGAGTATATGTACACATGTATATGCAAAAGCTCATCTAAAAGAAATTAAAATCATTAACAAATGATACTGTCCTTAAGAAATACACATTTATTAAAAATTGTTAAAATTTTATCAGTAATTAATTGATGATTTCAAATTTGAATTCAATTTGGTCATTTATATGTGATAAAAGTAAATAAAAGCGGCTGTTAATTTACATTTGCATAGATTTTAGTTCTCTGTTGTGTTTGAATACGCTCAATTCTGTTAATTTTTCATATCGAGGTGAAACAGAAATTCAAGACGAGAAGGAAATGACGATTACATCAAACGAAATTTTTCTGCCAGAAATGTCAGAAACGCTGGCTTTGCACCTTCTCTATGTTATACGTTCTCTGATACAGATGATTGTCAAAGTTTACCTCTGACAGCCCTATTCTGCAGAGAACGTATAACATAGAGAAGGTGCAGAGAATGTAAATATAACGAGAAGGTTCAATTGCGGACCAGCGTGTAAACTGTCAAAAGCTGCCAAGTTACGATGGGTGCATTTCACCACAGGCCGCCAGAAACTAACAGAGTTTGCTATTGATGCATAACATTACTGAGCGTAGCAAAATTAAATATGCTCAGCAATGTACTGATCTGTCTGCAACTAACATTGTTTATGTTAACTTCAGATAACGAATTTTTGTAGGCTTCTTATCAAAATAAACGAAAATATTATTCTCAAATTAATAATATATTTTTTGGAATGAGGGTGAAAGGATTTATTTCATTAACGTATTGTACATCTTTTTCAAATTTCTGTATTATATAATAGTAAAAGTATGTCCTTAAGAAAAGATGATTGGCCGTCGGCATTTCGCAACGGCGTTTTTTATAGAGGATAATTTATTCATGAATTGTAATTTTTTTAATAAATCAAAAATACATTTGTGCATATGTACGTATGTATACGACATACAAAATACTGACCTGCCTCAAGAAATACATGCATTCATACATACATATGTATGTACAAGTATTCTTATACGCATATGCAAAAACATACAAACACATTACTTGTGTGAAAACATACTTCCCTCTAAATGTCGCCCAAAAGCTGAAATCAAATACTACAATAACATTTTCATTCATAGACGCCTGCGCCCTACAACAAAGCATATTGCGTCCATTCATAAACAACACCGCGCATGCCATACCAACAAGTTGCTTCTTCGCGACAGTGTCAAAAAACACAAACACACAAAATCATTATGGTCGCGAAAAGTGAAGCAACACCAACAACATACAAAGCTTGCCCTTTTCCTTCAACCCGTAACATTCATGTGTCGTCCACAAGCATTGCTTCAAATTCTTGCCACTGACAAAAATTCAATCATCTTCTGCAGAAATGAAGCAAATAGCCATCGTGCTACTTAATTTGCTGTTCGCCTATTACTTCATATAGCACAGCAAGCAATTTCCTTGCCTTCCCGCATGCACCTTGTCCACAACGTGAAGAATTTCTATAATATTCTAAAAGTTCTAGAAAATTCTAGAACATTCTGGAATGTTCGATTTCAATGAAGACGAGTAAACCCCCTTTCCTTCGACTCTTCATCAACAAATAGTTTCCTCAAGTCGAATACAAATTTTAGCAAAAATCGAAAAATTGATGTTGAACTCACGCAAAGTGAAAACCCATACATGCAAGCAATTTAATATGTATACGCAAAACGCACACAATCTTAACCCCGCCATCCACAAGCGATTTCTTCGCGACGATCACAAAATTTTGCTCGATTTCATATTTTTCGCATTTTGGTGTACGAATTCAGGTACAGTAAACTTTGTATACCACGAATATATCAGTCGCTAGTCAGCTATAGGAGTGATTCGTATATAACTTCACAGATTTGAGAATTTGAATTGAAATCTTTAATTTTCCTAAGTTAATTAACTTTTTCAAATAATAATCCTGTATTTTTCATAATAAAAATATGTATTAATTCAATAATCGAGGAAGTTTTAGAAATTATAGGCGTCATTTGTATATAGTGAATTAATTCCTCATTGATTTCAAGTTTCTTATTAAATTTTAAATTTTTTCGAATTTCTAAACATAAATTAAATGAAAAAGCTCATGTTTAAAAATAATGAGACTTTTTTCTAAACATTTGTTTGGCATTCATTTTAAATAAGTTTTGTAATTCTTAACAAAAAGTTCACTCTATCGAGTGCGCGATTTGCTGTTGTCGAAGAAGACACAAATTTGCTCAACTTTCAATTTTTGGCACTTNAAACAAGAACCTTCCATAGCGAACAATTCGATGCTTCTACGCTTTCGTCTGCGAGCAGCCGACTGCTATATAAAGGCGACACTCAGCTGCATGTCAAGTCAGTGATAAAGTAAACTCGTTGGCGTTAACATCAGTGAAGACGTAAAGTGAACGCGTTGGGAATTACATTTAAGTAGAGTAAATTGTGAAAGTTGATGTTAGTGATTATAAATAGTAAAGTGCAGTATAATTGAATTGTGAATTACTGAGAAAGTAAAGGACATTAGATTAATTCTTTATAACGAAAGAAACTGCAAATTAAGTTGGCGAGTTTTTATTTAACAATCCAGAGATCGTACCCGAAGGATCTAGAAAATAATCGAGGGGATTTAGTAAAATCGTAACAATACTGAATGGTAAATTTTAATACCTAGGTAACTTTTGTTACCTCGACAGAATAGGGCTGTCAGAGGTAAACTTTGACAATCATCTGTATCTGCTGACGTCAAACTAACAGAAACAGCTCTGTGCGGTGGGAAATTTCGCTAAGAATTAGCCACTAGCGAAATGTCAAAATTACGCTCTCTCAATACAAATTTTACTGACTTTTTTGTTTCAGTAACAATTGTTACTAAACAATAACATAGCACCGTCAGCACAGTGGTTCATTCTTATGCACGCATTTATTAAATTTTTTAACTATTGTTGACATTTATTAAGTTGTATGATATATTATAAAAGTACACCCTATCCAAATAAATTATAGCTATAATTAATTTTAAATATTTTTTTATTTTATCATGTCAGTTCAGGGTAGGTTCGGTCTCCAAAGACATACAATTTGAGCACTTGGTTTATGGACCACACAAAGGGTACGTGTACGATTCGCTCTCGGCATATGTTGTACCGTGTGCCCTACAAAATTGTGAGATAATTTTCATCATGTAGTAAGTATAGTTGGAAAACCCAAATGCAACATACATACTTTTCTAAGAAATTCCGAAAGCAGCACTAAATTCATATTAAGTAAATACATATCTTCCAAATATATGCTTCCTTATCTTAAAAAAAAAACGTTTATGTGTACATAAATTATTATGATGTACATACACGACCAGTCTGTTATCTTTGTGCATAGCAAACAATTTTTATGCATTAAAAAGAAGTGACTTGATTAAGAATGTGCTCATACATACAAACATATGCACATTTGAGTATCATGTTACATTCATAAATTAAGAACGTTGGGGCGTTATTAAAGTACCATTTTAAATAATAAATGCTATTTCTTTTTTTGAAGTTTATTCAATTTACTTATTGGAGAAAGTTACAATTTTAAAGCTACGGGAATATCGGTTCACCTCGTCAAATAGCTTCCAACATATCCTCTTTTAAATATGTTTAAAAAAAAAAACATTACAAATGTAAAAAAGGAATTCAAAGTTAATATATAGTAATATTCCATTATTCATATTGATTTATGTCAATCCATTGGTTCGTCCATTCGTTATACAAATAACGGAATTTTAAATTCAAATTATAAAATACATGTTCACATGTCATATACTATGCGCATTTTACAAACAAAAACAAAAAAAAATTTCTGACATGAATTCTTCGTCATCGACAAATGCTTACACTAATACCATGATTTCAAGGTTTTCAAGATTAAACAATATGCACTTATTTCTTTCAAAAATAATGTCTTACAAATAATACAACTTCTTCTCAAGAGCATTTTGAGGAGGTTGGTATAAGCTGGTCGCCACCAATGTCGCAAGCTTTTTAGCGTATTGGCACACAGCTGGTACGCGAGTAGTACCTGACCAATTGTAATACAAATGTGTCATCTTATATGTGAGTAACTGCATATGATCTGGTCTTAGACCTATATTGCTGTATACAATATTGTAGCTTGTTGGTGACACTGTACCCTGTCGTACTGATTGCGATACCAAGAAAAAGTCATAACGCTCGGGCAAAGTAACTACATCATCCACAACGGTACCGGGTGGTGGATTACGTCCACGCGCAAATAATCTTGTATTGATGGATTTTGTTACAACAACATATGCAAACATAGGTGGCTTCTCCGAACCAACACGTTTATATTCTTGTTGCAATTTCTCGACAACATCCTTAACTTCGTGCTCATAAACTTGTCTCAAAGAACCTTCACCAACACCATCACGGTAGAAAAGAATTCGGGTGGGTAATTTGCCATCATGTTCTTTGCGGTATTGTCGCAATGCTTTGGTCATCATTGGCCATAGACTATTCGCCAATACATCGTGGGAACTACATTCTGCAACTGTACTGTAAAAGGTGGCATTTGTCTTCATATCCATAGAGGCAACCAAAGCACCAAAGGCTTTCGAACGATCGCGGCTACTTTTAGCAACATCATAGCCAATAGTCATTAATCCGGATAGGGGTAGGTCAATCATCCATGGTGTGTAACCCAACTTACAATTAATTTGTATGGCTACTTTTGTGGCAATACTCATTAAACCACGTGGATTATTAGCCGACTTTTGTGTTATCACTTGAGTAGGAATGGCGCGTTCCAAACATCCCTTCTTTTTAATAGAAGCATAACGTTCGGCATTATTATTTGGTACCAAGCAAAGTATGAGCTGTGGATCATGTCGGCTGCAATCCTCCATTGCTTGAATGTATGAATGATTCCTATCATCATATAACATAACTTCTCGTGGGCGGCTTATACGCATCTGCATTCCACCTGCTGCTCGAATAAGAGATTCAACGAAATTTCTCATCTCTCTGGAATTACGATTTGTAGCAATAACAGACCAACGGTCAAGACCGCGGGAGGGTGTAGTAAATAAGCCGTTATCTCGGAAAAGACGAGTCCAATCTGCTTGTTCTCCGGCAGATGCCTTTTTGTGTTCGCTAAATACTATGCGTTGTGGTTCGAGAACACGTCCATTAAGATCTACCAAATGACGATCTAGTGTCATATTCCAATCATTTAATATTTGAACACTTGCGTCCGTCTGTTGCAATCTTTGATTAAAAATTCGTAGGCGATCAATACGTCGATCCGGATTCATGCGCGTATGATCCGCCATGGCCCTCATGAGCTGGAAATTGTTACGCATGGTGTCGGTTAGACCAGTAGGTCTGCATAATTCCGGAATCAGTATAATGGTGTCACTACTACCACCTCTCATTGCTCTTTCTTTAGCCTTAGATATGAGCAAAGGTTGTTTTGGATCGCGGATACGAATATGGTATTTTTGGTAATAATAGTCAATGAACGAAACTTCCTTTTCTTTACGTTTAAATGTTCTTGAAGGAGTTTGGTTGAAATCAATATCGCTAATGCGGTATGTTTTATTATTGTAGTCAGTGAGCACTGTAAGCCCCAACACGTGTCGTCGAAACTCCTCTTGGTAATCCTTAGCGGTTTCAGTACAACGCATTAAGATATCGTACACAGTTTCCGTACGCATTACTTTGTGGGCAATTTCCGCGCAGAGCAAAATATCGCTCTCATGTTGACGAATTGAAGTTTGATAACCTGGCCATAATTGCAACCGGTACTCTCGCATATCAATTTTCGCAATCGGGTCATAAAAGTTTCTGCCAACTAACTGCAACTTTAGACCTTCCATAGCACGACGCAAAATTAAATTCAAAATCTGAAGTGATTGCCATTCAGTCATTGAAATGACTCCAACATATTTTATTACAATTGTGTAATTGTCCCCAAATTTAGATTTAGTGCGAATGACGGTTTTATCTTCCTCCAATTTCACAGAAGTAAATAATTTGGTTCCATCATAAAGATATCCGCCCAATCTGTCACGATGTTCCGAAAGCATTCCACCTCGAACACGACGCAATTCAATAGACGGCGAGAAATCAACATGATATTGAAATATGCGCCATGTTGGTTTGGTTAACAGACGATAGTAATTCGTTTGCAATTGTATTGGTGTACCGCCACTACCTACTTTGGTCTGAATATCAGAAGGACGAGTATGAACAATCTCATAACGCTCTCGTTTACCAAGGGGATCGGCATCTGCATCTCCTTCTCCACCGATAGCATCACCACCACCAGCTGCAGCCGATGTTGATGGTTGATCTGGGAATTCCCTTCGTTGACTTCCATTGCGCGATGAGCTCGGGCTTCTATCTGGCGAAATTGGTTCCTTTTTATAGATCTTGGTAGAACGAGGTTCTTCTGAAGGTTCGCGTTCCCTGCGTCTTCGATGTGAATCGCCGCCACCAGAATTACCGGAAAATTGTAAGTGAGGTGAACGCGATCTGGAATGTCGTTGCTCACGTGATGGACGACGGCGACCACGACTTTGATCTTCAGACATTATTCTTTCTTCCAACGTACAAAATGAAAACTTATTTTATCAACGAAAATTCGCCGATCTTTGCAAAGTGACGCGAACCTAAAAATAATGGATATTGTGTATTGCAAGTGGCCGCATATTAACCTCACGCTATAATACAAACGAGTACCACCATATGGTGTTACCATTTATGAAAACAAATTCGCATAACGTGACGTCTTCACGACTCTGAAAATGGAAGTTATTATCTACATATTCAAGCAAGCGAGGTATAATTATGTTAGATGGACACTTGATGGCACATTTTTGAGCGCGATAATCAAATATTCGAATATCGGTACAAAATGAAAGTTGTAAACTAAGTAGCCGTGTAAAGTTTATTAAATATGATTTATTGAATGATAAATACGTTGGTTGAATTCTTTAACATTAATAAACTGTAAAACGTTCGGTGACATTTGTTTAAAAATCCATTTGGGATATCATCGAGGCGTTATTACCAAAATCAAGTAACAATAACTTGAATTCGCCTAAAGAAAGAAGAAAATGTCAAACATAAACGCATTATGGTTGAACGGCAGAACGAGTTTTTCAGAAAATTTGAGGGAAGGTGGCATTTCTAATTGCATTGATCCACAATTATCGACCATAAGCGGCTCTTGCATTAATAGAGTTGCCAGAAACTTACAGAAAACTTATAAAAGCGAACTGTGTTATCCACGCGAAATTCGTAAATTAATTGAGCCTTGATCGAAGGGTGGTCAACTTCCTGGAAAATTTTGTAAATAAGGCTTTGGCAGCATAAAATTTCTTGTCCTGTTTGCATTAATTATAGTATCAAAAATGGTAAAAATTTTACAATTATGGTTAAACTAACGGTAATACAATAGTTTCACACCTTTTATTAACTTTTTGAACAATTTAAACTTACGCAATAGATTTTTTCATATTTTCCATAATCCATTGATCTATAACTTTTATTAATCCTGTATCATTCATTAACTCCTCTCGTTTTCCACTTCCACCTTTTCGTACAAAGCTCTCTTCACCTTCGATCAAAACTCCTATGTCGGCCATTTCACTCCCGTTTACAGCCGGATTTTCTCGAAAATTGTTTATATCCAAATGTTGGATTAAATTTTGTAATCCCTCTGTACTAATAGATCGATTTAAAAATGTGGTCAGTTTTAAAATTGCACCAGTCAAGTCGGTTACCATATCCTCGTAGTTAAGAATTAGTATGTTTGGCAGATGACTGTGATCCATGGCTTCCTTGATGTGACTGTAATATGGGAGCCAGGGATCTAAAATTTTGTATGTGCATACATACATACATACATACAGACATATACAAGTAGGATATAAACATTGCGCAATTTGTGGTTAGTTGTAAAAAAAATTTTCATAGAAAACAAAAACTCACTTAAGCCTCTTGAAAAATAATTCAAATAACGTGAAAAGTCACCAATGTAGCCCTGAGTTCGGTACAAACGATTAAGGTGATAGTAAGAAACAGCAACATCCTTGGGATTTCGTGCCACATATATGATCTACTTAAAAACAAGCATTTTTTTCTTATACAATTTATTTAGCTTATATATGTAGTTTTTTTTTTTTAAATACATACCTTGCACTTTTCTTGAAAAATACTGGGAGGCAACAGTGAGAAAGGAAAATGTGTTTTAATAAATCTCTTTTTATCACTTGACCATTCGTCGAGAATCTTATAGCCTGGTGTAGATATATGTTCGATGAATTCTTGTTTTTTCTTGTCACCAACATTTTCATACAACAACTCAGCTTTGATTTCATCATGTACAAACAAGGAAAACCTGTCAAAAATAAAAGCGGTTAGCGCTTCCTTACACAGTATTCAAACTTAAAAATATGCTTACTCGAAGAATGGAAACCTTTCGGTGAGCAGCTGACTTTTGGCTGTACTAAAGTCTAAATTATTTTCCAACAACCAAACTAACTCTTGAGTCCAGGTAGTGCCTGATCGAGGAAATGTCGCCAACCAAATATCGTCTGGGCGCGATTGGAAATTGTAGAAATTTTGTGCTTCTAATTTGTATTTGTGTGGAAAAAAGTACTTTTCAGGTCCCACCTGCACAAACCCTGTACGCTCACCTTTTCAAATGTAAATCTCATTTCAGTACATATAACAGATGTAAAAATTAAAGTATGTTTATTTCAAATACCCTTGAAATAGTGTAGTAGTTCAGTGTTTAGCCGTGGCTCAACATCGGTGATTTCAAACGGAAAAGTGTACATAGTTTAAGAAGAGGTTTCGACGATCTTAACTGATTCGTTGCAAGAGTACAACTAAAAACTATAAGTAAAACTTCCATTAACTAAGTTAACAAAACTTTGATTTCTATAGTTGCAGTGAAAGTTTTTTTTTTTAATTAATTAAATGGATTAGTTAAATTTATTAAAGTTAATGTTTAATTAGCTTTGTTCAACTGCCGCCTTACATTATCAACATTCAACACATTATCTTACTATGTATGCATGTATGCAAATACACTTAATGTAGTAACAACTGGTTTTATTTAAATTGCGTTTCTTGTAATGTACAACAGAGACAGTGTTAATAAGTATCTTTTGCTTAGAAATCAGCCCAATAATTCGTTTTATGATGCATTTGACCAAGACAAAAAAAAGAAAAACCAGCTGCTAAACTGATGGCATCTGTATAATTTGTTAGTATAATTACTGTAAAAAAAATTTAGCATGTACATATAATATTGTGTAAATGAGTATTGTTTTCGGGCTCTGTAAAGAAAACAAATAACGGTTGCAGCTGTAATTAACGCAGGTAGTCCATTAAAAATGGTTTATCGTCTGCTGCATATGGTGTGAGGGGTACATCGTAAGGCAGTGGGAAGGGTGGTATACCATTACGTGCATGTCCTAATGGAAACGTTTCTTCTCCGGTCTGCAAGAAAACAATTTGAAAGTAAATGTAGGAAATATATTAGAAATTAATAAAATAAATCTAAAATAAATTAATAAAATAATAATGAAACGTTCTTATGATGACAGCATACAAAATTTAAATTAAGTATTTTGAATGATTATGTATCCATCCATAATATAACAATTATGTAAAAATATTAATAATTGATGATAATTGTTCTTCAAAACCCTCTATCACCTTACGATTATTGAAATTGCTTATGTTTACATACCACAAATCTCGGCAGAAAGAGCACACCTGCTTCATAGTTCATGATTCTTAAGCAAGGTGCAATATTGACATTTTTATTGAATGCACCCCATGCTGCTTTCGATAAATTTGCCGAGGTTAACATAAACCAATATATTGACTGGTCTTCTAAATTCATTCTGGTATAACATTTTATGTGCGGCATCGCTTGGGAACGGAAGCGTTCTCTCGAACACCATTGAAATAGATGACCGCGAAGCCACGGTTGTTTATCATTAGTATTTGCGCCATATGGAAGGCAGCCACCACCTAGCAAACCATCATGGCTATTGTTAACATTGCCGAAGCTGGGATAAATCATTTTGAATGGTGGAAAATGAGTAAGTTCCGGAGGTCCGGAATGTTTTCGCAGACTGTTAAGAAAATCATGTTGTATCCAAGTTTGTATATTTGGACCGAGATTACCAATGCTAGAGCTTTGACAAATCATAGGTACTCTGGGATCGATTGTTGTGCTATGCTTTTTTAGTAATTCTCCCACACGTGGATGACCCCAGAGATAACCACGCGAACCTTCGCGGAATCCACCAGGTGCTGAACCGATGAAAAAGACACTGCAAATTAAGTTGAGAAAAAGGGAAATATATTATTATGAACCATATTTACGAACTTTACTTTGCAATGATTTACTTTATGGAACTGAAATCCGTTTTGCGAATTCGCGCTATCCATGGTTGTAACTTAGCTATTTTATATTCTACCAAATACAGCATAAGATCTTGGCGAAAACTTGTGGGGCTCTCTCCAGCCGTGGTATCAGCGTCAGATGGTAACGCTGGCAATTTGGGACTTATCCAAATTCCTTGCGTGCGATTGTGCCAATCATCTTCGTACAGATTAGCAGTAGATATTACAACACGCATACTACCATCCGTATATCCCAAGAGCATGACTTTGGCGTGTGAAGTTGAAAAAGGTGTAGGCATATTAACTTTAACAGCTGTAACTTCCGGATGTGTTTTTGAAATATTTGATAGTTCCGGTGTTTCATCGCCGTACAGAACAAGTAACGGTGTACCCCTACGAATTTAATAACATACATTTTAAAGTAAATTATTATATTATATTATATTTTTTATATTATGAACTCACATTATGCCAGCGAAGTAATAATGCCCGAGCAACCAACCGATTTCTACCATAAAGTTTATTTGTACGGAGGACTCGACTTCGCCCAGACTTTCATCAAAGATTTCTAAATTCAATTAATTAAAAAATATAATAAAATAGTTCAAACGAATTAATATAACCTATTCTATGAACTACCTTGTAAAGTTATTGTAAAGTGCTCATTGTGGGTGCGTTTGGAGTCAGTAATTGCTGTAAGGAAAAAATTGTATGGTGCAGCACGTTTTAGTTTTTCCGCAGCATGGCCTTTTTCTAAAACGACTGGTATATAGTCCTTTATATTACGAGCTATTTTGACTTTTTTAGAAAGTTTGGATCCATCGGTGAATGATGTACCTGAACTATTAACAGAAGTGCCAGCACTTGGTGAGTTGCTGCGTTTCAGATTTTCAGCCTACAATATATTAGTCTTATTACACTGTAAGTACGTAATCAGAGATATTTTCATTACATTACCACCATCCAGACGACCACTACCCCTACTTTTATCGACTTCTTTTGTTTTTGACGACGTGCTGCTGCTTCCAGTAATGTCGCCAGACTTGGGAAACAGTTTCTCCAACAGCTTTAACTGTATCTCAATTAATTCAGCTGACATGAAAAGCTCATCAGGAATCACGTAATTATTTGTTTCTGGATCCAAACCATTTAAATATATCTTGTCCACTGTAAAATGAATACGTCAAGTTTTAGCATATGCCTCTAAATAAGAAATTCTAACTTACAATGAGGATGGGAGAATTCACCGAAATGAATAGGATTTTTCCTGTAACACTGCTCACCATAAGGACATTTTTTTAACTTTGTAGACATGACGAAAGAAAAATCTATAACAAAATATTTCAACCGCAAATTGATGCTTATAAATGGACAACAAAATTCAGTTGAGCGCGGGTAGTGATGCCAGCATTATATTTTAGTTAAGTATTCAAATAAAATTTAAATTTTTTGTAGTTTTAGTGTTTATGCAGAAATTCTTTAAAATTATTGTAAAAAAATATGCATTATTAAATCGTAATTATACATCTTGGAAAATTTATCAGATTTCTCCAAGTAAATACCAAATTTTCAAATTTAAATCATGTTGTCATCCTGTAGTTTTTTTTTATGACCTTCCAGATTTTTCAACAACAAGACAGAGAACGTAAATACATTCTGTGCAACAACAACGCAAAAAATATTTTGACAGCGAAAACTGCAGTTGCATCTCATATTTTCAGCGATTTTATTATAATGAAAAGTTCGGAATCGCTGTTATAGAAATATTGTGAAATTAAATAGTAAGTTTTTGCAGATATAATCAAGCCAGCATTATAAATTGGTTTTATTTATGAAATAAATAGTAAAAATAAAGGCACCAAAACGGGGAAACAAAGGTTTGCAATAATACAATCTCACAAAAATTAGTGCTACTAAAATTTGGAAATATTTCACAGTATTTAATAAAACAAACAAAGCTTTTCATGTGTCTATGGTAATTTAATGAATGCCTGAAATTGTCTTGTAGATTCGTTGTAATAGAGCTTTAACTAAGATTAGATTTCATAGAGTTCGTGAGATTAATGCTATTCAGGGCTTCTTTATGGCTACCGCACTTCATTTCAGTAGCATTAATTCCATACTAATAGAGTTATGTGTGTGTCACCTGCAACAAACGATAAGTAGATGTTAAGGGGAAGCCCGACAGTGGGCCTTAGAGTTTGTAACATATTTGTATGTAATTGTAATGTGTCACTGTGTTATTTTTATTTTATTTTTTCTTTTTCCCTACTTAGCAAACCAATCACACAGAATAAAGATAAGGATAAGGAAGGCATCGGAAAGGGGACTACAAATTGTATAAACAATAAAAAGTGAGCAAGTACAAATGCGCATACATATATATAAATAAACATTGTAAATTGCATACTTGACTTTAAGAGTGGACAAGCTTGAGCTGGAGCTGGATTCTTTGCGCTATATACATCAAGAATTGCCAACCTTGCAAAATGCCTATTTTATATAGTGTTATATCCCGAGGTAGCACTGTGCTGGCTAAATATGCAGAGTGTGTGGGCAACTTTGCAGAAGTCACCGAACAAATAATCTCTAAAATCGCGATTGAGAATCATAAATTGACTTACTCGCACGGCGAATACTTAATACATTATATATGTGAAAATCGCATTATCTATATGTGCATTACAGACAACGTAAGAACTTGAGATTACAATATGCGTTCACTTTTATATGAATTAAACGAATTTTAAATATCTTAATTACAGGAATTTGATCGTGCACACGCCTTCCTCTTTCTGTCTGATATTAAGCAGAAATTTATACAAACTTATGGATTGCAAGTGGCTACAGCCATTGCATATGCAATGAATACCGAATTTTCTAAAGTTTTATCCCAACAAATGGCTCATTTTAGTCAATCGCGCGAGGTGGATATGATTTCTCGGGTGCATGGACAAATTGACGAATTGAAAGACATAATGGTGAAAAATATAGGTACGTATGAATGTAGGCAAATGTTGTTTAATTTACTTTTTTAAAAAATAAGTTCGATGGCAAGATGCTGTTTACTATATACTTTTATTTTTTATTGTATGCAATACTAGATCTAGAAAATCTGTAAAAATGTCTACGATGAAATTGGTTATTATGTATTGAAATTTGATTCCAAATAATTTTTGCACTGGCTATAATATCATATTTTTCCCATACACAGATAGTCTTCGTGATCGAGGTGAAAGACTGGAATTGCTTGTAAATAAAACGGAAAATTTAAGTAATAATGTAAGTTATATTGAAATAATCTTTATTGTATACATATTTTAAAATATACATTTTATTCCTTTAGTCTGTTGCATTCCGCAAAGCTTCTCGCAATTTAGCCCGACAAATGTTCTGGAAGAAGGTACGCCTCTACGTAGTGGTGGTACTAATAATAATCTTTGTCATCTATGTGATCATAAGTATGTTCTGTGGTGGCCTCGCATGGCAGAGCTGTATAAGAAACTAAGTTCGAGCGCCATAAAAGTTGCATATAAAAAATGTGTCTCTAAATACATTTTAATGTATAATCGTTTTTGGTATATTTCAATACAATTAAAATACCTGTTTTTATGTCATCACATTTTATGTAATCTTTATTTTAATGCATGCCAAATTGTATCTCTAATTTTGAACAAAATTGTATTCCGAACGAACGAATGCGCAAAGCGTTGGTAGATGGGTCATTTGTAGAGTTCAATGTATGAAAATAATCAATGTTTCTTCATTTAAAATACCCACATAATCAGAGAATATATTTTTTGTACATACACATATATTTAAGTAAGCATGCATATATGTATATGCTAAAACATAATATATTGAAATAAATAATATATTTAAATTTGAAAATGCGAAAACTATAGCTGAAGTTTTACAGTTTATTAAATACGTATTTAATCCAATACAAAAATCGATACAAATTATAAAGCCAAAACAAATTGTTTAACGAGTAAAGTATAAATATAAATATATACGCACATGTATGTATGTATATTAAATATGTGCATAAAAGACAATATGTAGAGTGAAAATTGTTTTCATCTATTTTTTAACACCTATGTATATTACATCACCACGCTTAACCTTGCCCGGTTGACGTAGTCCCAAATGTATGCCAAGTACAGGACTCGGCTTATTTTCGAAGCAGCGATACCTTAAGAAAATTATAAAATAAATACAACTGAAATTAATCAATATACATACATAAATATACATTACAAACTTACGTCTTTAGTGTTTTCAAAGGATTATTCTCTGGATCGCGTTCACCGGTTTCGGGATTGATATTGGGCAAAATGCAGCGGCGACAAGGCGCTACTTTACGAAACACAGCTTCATTGCCAATTTTAATCCAGTCGTAAGCATCCTCGGCATATGCTTCACCGTTATCCATTTTCAAATAGAAGCCGCCACGAAATTGAATCGGCTTCACCGGTCGCGGTAGTCGTTTATTGAGATCGTCAATAGAAGATAAATTCATCAACATGTAGCTAGTGGCATCCGCAAAGGCCCCCTGAAGTACATACATACATATGAATGAGTATTAAATTTGATTTAAATCCTCTAATTTACATCGCTCGATAAGAAAATGGTATAATAAAAATGTAGAAATAAATAAATTAAAGTGTGGTCTTGCATACATGCATATGTTTGTGTTAAGATAAATGCTGATTGTGATGAATATGTACATATGTATGTTTTTATGACTACTGATCATTTTGCATCTTAGATGAAAATATTATTGTGTGCAATATATGTACTTATATATATATGAATGTATGTAAGGGAACATAAATTTCTAGTATAGATGAACTTCTAAATGAGAATGCGCCTACAGTAGGGCGATCCGAAAATAAATATGCACGAAAATTTTTGAATTTTTTTCGTTAAAATATTATGAATTAAGAATTCTCGGGAAAGAAACTTCTTCATAAAAAAATTCAATTATTTTTTTTTTAACAATTTCGATAATTCTTTGCGAATATTTTAATTTTATTTTATAGAGAAATAATTTTTCCTTATTACCCTAACACACTTACACACATATATAATATATGTATGAATGCATGTAACTATCTCCGCATGTAAATATGTATGATTTTCTCAGCGCAGTAATTTAAACAATTTTATATGTACCAAAAGCTGTAAAATCAAATATTTTCATACCGTATCGGATTTTTTGATGTGAGGCTCCTTAACCATGTCTTTGTCAATTGGCTTAACCGGGTTTTGGTACGGGTGATATACAAGCTTCACGCCGCTGTCCTGTCCAAGTATATAACGTGAAAACCATTTATCAAATTTTTCACCGCACAACATCGCATCCAAATTGGCACCGAACACAGACGTATGAATATCTACACCTGGTGCTTCATCCACAAGTTTCTTGAAATCCAATTCCAATGTTTCCATGCCGGGTGCATTGAATTCGAGTTTTGTGGGTGTAACCAGTTTAGAGGCAATCAAGACCATCTTAGGATAACCGCGCGCTGTTATCATTACGTTATCAATGTCCACGAGCATTAATGCACGATCACGACAACCCTGATAGCGCAGACCGAGTACGTCGCATGAAAGTTCAGTGCCCTCGGATAGTTTAAGTGATGCACAAGATTTCATGGGAAAGAATTCGAGCATTTCCAATGTGCCAACGCGTTGCCATTCTTCTGGGATGACATCCTGCTTCCAATACTTATAGTACAGATAGGAAGCTCCTGACACGGCAGTAACCCCAACTCCAATGCCAAGACTCACCAGCAGTTTGCTAGAGACTCCACTCGCTGAATGTGAGATTAGCAAAATTTAATTAAGGAACACATCAGAATTAATTTATGCTGTATATGCTTACTGGACATTTTGCGCAGTTTTTACGGGTAAAAATATATATGCACAGGTAACGTTCTATTATATGTGTTGAGTGCACTTTCTTTTATCAGTTGTTGAAATGTTACAGAATCTTTATTTAATGTTGTTGTTACATATAGAAAAACGCCGGCTAGTCTTACTTTACTCGTCTGTTTATGGAGAGCAACTGAGAATTGGCACTTTTGCTGCGCACTTTTCATAGGCTCCCCCACAGGCAAGCACAAACAAATTTACATATATACATACTATTATTTATGTGTATGCGTTGAAGCATGATGGAATGGGTGGCTGTTCTCTCAGTAATATTCCAAAGCAAAGGCGGATCCATGGGGGTTGGGGGGTTTTAATTTGAATTTTCCTGTGAGGAATGAACACATTGTTGATTAAGACCGTTGTTTCTGCGGGCTAGGGGTTTAAAAATTTACCCGCAGTAAGTGATGCCGGTGGTGAAAGGCGACTAAAATATAGTAAAATAGTTCCCGCGACAGTCGGGTCTTTATACCGAAACTACCCGGAATTTTATCCGGTCAAAGACTGTCACTCCCCCGGCACTCCCCAAAAACTACTTTGGGAAATAGTTTTGCTGTTACAACAACGACAACCGTTGTTTCTGACTTCCTCGATCCGACAATTTAATATCAAGGTAAAAACTATTTCAACTTCGCTGGCACTGGGTTTTATGTAAGTCCATTGGTCTGACTCAGTTGCCATTAGAATTGAGTTGAAACTCTGTTTCCACTTAAAATAGAGGAAACCAAGCCCACAATGGTCAAAAAGCTCAGTCTGGGGAACAATGCTTCTGTTTACCAACAGCTGCACCATGAACTAAGTAACGCAATGATTGGAAATTTAGACCTCTCATCCTTCATTTCAAGTTTTGAGTAACATAAAATAAAAATAAAAAGGTCGCTTAGTTTCAGCTTGATAGGTCTGGATTCAGTTTAACGGTAAGAAATATTTTATTTCTCGTTACCGGGGCCCCACTACCCGTGTTCCAGGTAACACACAATACCTGTGTCCTAATGTGAAGATGTCATAGTTGTAGTTTGAAAGATCTCGATTTCAGAAAAGCACTATATGACCCTCCTTAGTGATCACGGGGACTATGCGTCGAGGTGCTGTAGTGCCTTGCTTTCAAACGAACTGCGTACAGTACCTTAGTTTAATATTTTACAGATAGTCTAGAGAGAGAGAGAGAGTCTTCTTATCAATAAATGCACATATACTATCAGTCCGATTACCTATTTTTGGAAGGAGGAGGCGGCGGTTCAGATAAACGCCAATAATTCTACAGCGAAGTAGTCTTTGTTGTAGCTCTTTATTTATTTCCAGTGCGAGCTGTGTACAAATAGTGGCAGTTTGAACTTAATCGGTTGATCGGTTGCTATTGAAAACAAAAGCGATCGGCCAGTGATCTCATTTACAAACACCTCGATACATGTACAAAGCGCTTCAGTATAGAAATGAAATTATTGGGAGCGATGACTTGGTTTAGTATTACGCTTGGAGCTGTGGTTGGTGGCATTACATTTTGGTTGGCTTGTCGCAAGCGCCTTGGTAAACGTAGAGAACAGCCCAGCCCCGATGAGTGGCAATCTCTTGGTACACTAAGAGTAATCAATTTCTATCCCATCAAGGGTGGTGCGTCGATACAGCTCCAGCAAGTGGAATGTTCAGAGTTTGGGTTGCATGTGAATGGTTTGTGGGAACGTTGCCTTTTAGCATACGATGAGTGTGGTGCAATCGTATTTGCTGGCTCCTACCCACGTATGTTGAGTATTCAACCAGTGATTGTGGGTGAAAAGGTGTTGCGTTTGGAAGCTCCTAATATGCCGCCGCTAACCGTAGACTTGAATGAATTGCTGCGGCAACCGTATGCGGTGGTGGAAAAACGTAAAAATGGCAATTTTAAACGTTTGGTCGAATGCCGAGCTGAGCACAGTGAATGGTTGTCGCGTGCGGTATTGCAGCGTGTGCAGGGCTTACGGCTTTATGTCAAATTGAGGCCCCGTCAGGGAGAGGCGTTGGTAAAGCCTTTTTTGGGAGTTATAAGTTCTATTGGGCTATTTTACTACCTTCCCCAACTCTTGTAGGACATCTTCCCGGTCATGGTGCTGCATGAACGTTCAGTGCAAGATTTGAATGAGCGGCTAAGTGGAAGAACGGAGTCGGTAGACTGTCAACAATTTCGTGGAAATCTCGTTGTCGACAGCAATGCAAATGTGCCAACATATGATGAAGATCATTGGCTTTGGCTGAAAATTGGCAACAATGCTGTAAGTTCAACGATTATGTGTTACAACTCAGACTGTTTGCGTTGTATTTTGGTAAATGTGAACGTGCATGATTATACGAGAAGTCCGGATTTCGAGCCACTGAGAGAGTTGAAGAAGTAAGTCTCCTCTGTAATACATTTTAAAAATAGTCACCGACTTTAATTCGTCCCTTTCACTTTGATAGGTATCGTCTGCGTATGAATCCAAAAGAACCGTCCATGGGTGTCTATTTTGATGTCTACAAAAGTGGTTTGTTCAAAGTTGGCGATCAAATATATGTTCAGTATAAGTAAATAAATCAGTTATCGCTTAATCCGATCCAATTGAACGGTGGCTTTAGTTTCATACTATGTGGTCAAGTATTTAACCCTTGACTTATAGATGTAGACTTCCTACAGAGTTATAGGCATTTTCGGAATCTGAATATTTAAAACGACAACAGTAAAAAGTGTGCCTTCGCTGGAAAAAATCTTTCGATTAGAAAGGTTTCTTTATATATTATTATATGAATTTGCAAGGTTTCCGTAGCCATTTCCTGGGCTATACAAGGTATCTCAAGTCGTTTCGTTCTCGTTATCGCAGAAGCGGCGCAGGCGAGAAGAAGATGAAGCCAATTATTTGTGTCTCTCATCGAACTGCGCCCAAACTATGGGACAGATGGGATGTTCAGTTACACATGTCCGCTTAAAGAATGACAGATATCTTCGAAAACAGTACCAGCGTCACATACTCGAATTTTCTTGAGTTCGACGAGACTTTTGAAAATCTTTTTAAGAACATATCTTGGACACTTCCTTTCGCTGAAATGTTACCGACGTATCTGGTGAGCTTAGCGTGAAGAGATGTCTAACTCTATCTAAGAGTATAACACCGATATCTCTACTCACTGTCTGCGCGGTGCTATTAAATTGGGGATCTTCATTCTCCAAAGTCTACAAAGTCAGATTTAATTCAGAATTGATGGCTGTATGAGTTCATGCTGATATGCTTGACTTAAGTAACACTCTCGAACAGATATGTTTATCATTCTCTACAATGGAATACCATTTGAAAAAGGGTCCGATGATATGTACGTAGAGAACATAGAAAGCACACAACAGAAGACTTCATAACCAATCTTTCATCTCTTCGAAAAAAAGTTTCAAGTCTTTTAAGATTCAATTTAGATATGCGGCGCCAGCACCTGTCTCTAAACCTCATCCTAACCATTTTCTCCCAAAAAAGATATAGTAATTATTTATTGAAAAATGTATAAGTTTATTAAATTTTCTTAACTTTCAGGAAAAACAAAGTACAATTCATATGTATATGTAAATAAGGAAATATTCTCAATCCACTGCATCCTTCTTGATACTACCCGCCGCGCGCAAGCCCAAGTGAATACCAATTGCCGGCGTTGCATAGCCTTTGAACAAACGATACCTTGAAAATACAATTATCGGGAATACAAAAAGGTTTTTCCTTCATTTTATACAAACTCACTTCTTCAAGGTATTGAGCGGCTCGCCATCGGGATCACGCATTGCTGTATGCACATTTATATTTGGGAAAATGCAACGAGTGCAAGGTGCCACCACACGGAAAATTACCTCATCGCCAATCTTTATCCACTGCCAATGATCCTCAGCGTACGGCTCATCCACATCCACCTTCAAGTGGAAGCTACCGCGGAACTGCAGAGGATCAACCGGTCGCGGTATGCGTGTATTCAATTCCTTAATCGAAGCTAAATTCATTAGCATGTAACTAGTGGCGTCGCTGAAGGTGCCCTACAAATACAACAAATAATATTGCAGATAATAAGAGAATTCCATGTACTCACACGATCATCTTTCAAGATGAATGGCTGACGTAACATACGTGAGTTGATCGCCTTCACGGGCTTCTCCAACGGATAGTGCACCAGTCGAATGCCACTCTCCTTTTCTAGCAAGTATTTAGACAACCATTTATCATATTTCTCGCCGACCAAGCGCACATTTACCGGTGTGCTCCATACCATGGTCCTAAGTTGTATGCCTTCCGGCTTTAAACTTGCCAAATCCAATTCAATCGTTTCCATGCCCGGTGCTGTCAAAGCCAGCCTTTGTGGTGCCACCAACTTTGTAGCAATCAGCACCAAACGTGGATAAACTCGTGCGGTTATCATTTCATTGGCGTCGTTGATCAACATGAGTGCACGATCACGGCAACCGTGAAGCCTCAAGCCAAGTATATCGCATTCGACGGCGGTGTCAGCGTCTAGCTTTAAAGGTGCACAGGATTTTATGGGAAATATATTGATTTGGTCCAAAGTGCCAATACGACGCCATTTCTCGGGCACAGCATTGCGTTTCTTCCACTGCAAATAGTACCAGTAGCTGAAGCCAGAGGCGAGCGCGACACCAATCCCGATGGCGACATTACTTACAAGCTTGCCGGGTGCGCTTGATGTTGCTGTGTATGTGTATATGTGTATGTTATGTGTTTGAATAGGAATTATTTTGATATCGAAGATAGGTGCACTTACTTGCCATACTTGTTATTGCAATTTTGATAAGATTATCACTCGCTCAGCTCAGCTCTTAATATTATCAGGGTAGACCCTGCGGCGTGTGTAGACAGACTGAATAACCTCTGGCAGAAGTCATTGTATTTCGTATTGAGCAAAACGGAATTTCGATAAGAGAGTATTTTAACATTTGCTTAGCATACAAAACTGGAACACGAGAGTATTGCCAATAGTAGTTCGACAACATTGCTTGCTGCCGGTACCAACTACTTACATATTTACTTACTACGTAGTGTGCACTTATTGCATATATTTACGGAGCGAAATGCATTCATATAGGAAATATTAAACACCGGTTTAGTGGGTTTTAAATAAATAAAAACATTAAATTATATCAGAGAGCTGGGCGGAGAGCTAAACTCGAGAGAGTGCTCTCCAGTTGTTAATTTGCGACTGTGGAAGTACTGACGTCGTTATTTTTGCTCGACAAGTTTTTGTTTATTCGAATATTACGAGGGCGAACGAAGAAGTAAGGAGCTGTCATAATGTTTTTATCATCGATTAATTTAGAGAGTAGAAGCTCATTATCTCTATTCCGTAAGTGTAGTTTTTAAGTGTTATTATCGAAAGTTTTCTTCTTTTGATTATCAATAAAATATTTTTTAAAGACACGACTAAAAATGCAATATTGTATAGTACTGGGAATCGAACTTATTTCCATGAAGACGTTAAATTTCAGCATCCCTGTCAGTCGGGCAATAACCAGTGACTTTGTGAGACTGACAAGATCTTTCGACTACCCCTTACAAATTTGCCAGAGGTATGCTTGGCAACGGCAAGTTGTTCACTGTCTTTATGTAGTCATAGTGAAGCTTATTTTGTTTTATAGTGCTTTCGTTAGCTACTGTTGCGCTAAAGCCCTGGACCAGATTATTTGAAATTAAATTAAATTTATTTTTCTACTTGCGGTCTCCCTCGGCAGGGAATGTCTACCCCTTCGTGTGTATTTCCGAAATGAAATAAAGCTCTTCATAAAATTTCTTTGACATTTCGGAGGTGGCTTAGAATAAATTTCAGGCCTCCCCAATTGTTGGAAAATATCAAGACGAGCACCTCTAAACGAAGAAGAAGTCCAACATAGGGTTATCATCACCATTTCAGGAAAGAGTAACGGATCCTGTGTCTTAAACATGGTCACATATAGATATTGTGAATTACTACTGTGGACTCTGTTGTTAATCAAATAAGATGGATTATATTCTCATCAGCAGAAAATATATATTTTCGGCATAATGGGGTTCGCCTAAGTTTCCAAGCGAAACCGAAGTTTTCAAGTTTTTTTCAGTACTGGAATTGAGTATAGGTCAAGGTCATAAAAGAACCTCGGCCGGAGTTCAGGAGAATTCAAAAAACTGCAACAAGGCTCTAAAACCAATCCTTGGCTTCTTCGAACTTGATTTAGCAGCACATCAGGTGACAGAGCTGTAAAATTGTGAAAATTGTGGTAGGGTTGGTGAACGTCTTTGATTTCTATGGTGTCGACTTATTTCAGACATATGTGCACCGATTTGCAGCGGAATAACGAGGAACCGCAATGCTGATAAGCTTTTGCGTAGGGACACCATCATTTCATCTATGCCAAACAAAGCAATGCGCTCCTTTTCAAATAGCCGTGGCTATTCAACCAACCCAGCGAAGGCTGGCTTAGTACCTCCAAATGCGGTTGCAAGGTTCTTTTGGGGTAATGTCGGCTGCAGAAGGTCTGGAAAGCTTCTTTTTAAGCCATCATCGTTACTCTCACACTTTCCACCAGGGATTATCCCAATGAAATTCACCCGATAAGACTTGGATTTTTTCCAGATGCCTACTGACGTAGTAATTGGGAAGAAGGGTTGGAATCATCGTACTTTCTGAGAAACTGCGTTTGCATGACTGATACTAAAAATTTTCGGATCGCATACGTTAGCCAGCTCGGAAGAGTTAACATATTATGGATATCAGACAGTTTTGTAGATGGGCGACATGCGCTAAGCGATTGGCAGAATGAACAGTCCGTATTTAATGGGATCCTCTAAGCTACCCATTACCCTAACCTAACCTCGTCGATTATATAAATTAAATACGCATAGTAAGTCTAATAATATATATGTGCATATATTTGCATATTTGACTAAAACTATAAAAATTCTAGTGGCAAATACTTATGCTACTGTTAAGTTAGGAAAAAAAAATCAGAAAAACTTACATACAATATGTACAAAGATATATATAATTATTGATAAAATAAAATAATTGTAAATAAATATAATATTTAGATATGAAAAATATTTTCTTATTCGTCCTCGATGTAAATGACATCTCCAGCCTTCACTGTGCCAGACTGACGCAAGCCCATTTGTATGCCTAGAGATGGACCGGTTTGATGAGGCCAGCGCCGATACCTTAATACAAGTATGTATAGGTAAGTATAAATGAACGTATGTATGTAAATTGTCAGTAAGCATATTGAATAGGTCTGCTAATCTAATCAAAGAACTGTTAAATGCAAACACACTCACTTGTTTAGCGTCTTCAGCGGTTCGCCATCGGGGTCACGCTCGCCGGTGAATATATTAGTTGTGGGGAAAATACAGCGCGTACATGGAGCAAGCACACGAAATATCGTTTTCTCACCAATTCGCACCCACTTCCAATTATCCTCCGCATACGGCATTTCTTCGTCCATTTGTAGCTGAAAACTGCCACGAAACTGCAATGGATGCGCCGGATGTGGTATGCGTGTATTCAAGTCTTTCACCGAAGCCAAATTGATGAGCATGTAGCTGGTGGCATTATTGAAGGTGCCCGTGTCATCACAAGTCACTAATGGCTGATTTATCATACGCAAGTTGATTGCACGCACAGGTTTGCGGTATGGATAATAAGCTAAGCGCATGCCATTCTCTGAGCCGAGTAAGAATTGCGAAAACCATTTATCGTAACGTTCACCGCAAAGTAGCGCTTTGATTTTGGCGCCGAAAATTGAAGTGTATACACCGCGATCCTGTGACTGTTCCAGCAAATGCGAGTAGTCCAACTCAAGATCCGCCATGCCGGGTGCGGTGAAGAGTACACTTGTTGGCGATACCACTTTAGTGTGCACCATAACCATTTTGGGATATTGTCGACCGGAAATCATTTGATTTTGATCACCGACCAACATCAGCGAACGATCGTGTGCGGCATTGAAGCGCAGACCCAACAAATCGCAGGTGACTTCATCTTCTGCGTTCAACTCGAGTGGCGCGGCGGATTTTAATGGATAGATATTAATTTTTTGCACAACACCTACGCGACGCCACTTACTCGGCGGACTATTCACACGCCATGTGGAGTAAATCCAATAAGCCGCCGCGGCTAAGAGGACAAAGAATGCCGTATTAATGCTGTAGATCACCGCTGTGGTGGTGGTGATGTTGCACAGGAAGAGTAGGTGGTCTGCTTACAGACAGGAGAAAAAAATAAAAATTGTTTTTTTATACACAACTTTTTCACACTCACTCGTCATTTTGAATTAATCTTATCTTTCTACAACTGTTTTGAGCATTTAACCGCAATACTTTCGATTATTATCTGTTAAAGAAATAAAAGCAACGAATTTTTTTGATTTTTTTTCCCACTTTGTCTAGCGCGTTTAACGTCTAAAGCCGGTATGCGTGAAATTTCGTCAGGTAGTGCCATATATAAGTCGTTAGACCATGGTCTCAATCGAAGATTTAAAAATGAATAGTTCTTGTTTTTGCTTGTGCGAAAGACTAGAATGCACGCGAAACGAAGTACGGAGAGATTGAGAAACCTTATCAGTTCCAAAAATTTAGTTCTTGGTGTTTTTTATGTTTCCTAGTCACTAACTCATACATAAGTATCTAGTAAATAGTATGTAAACTAATCTGTTAATATCGAACTCGTTTTTTCCTTACTATTGTGGTAAATATGCTGCGCAAGATAATTATTATTATTATTTTTGTTTGATTACGCGCTATAAATTAATTTCATTACAGTTGTGAAGGGAAACACTGATTTACATATGTGCTTTTCAAGAATAAATAAAAGGCAAATAAGTTCATGCTTTGGCCAAGAATTTTGCTTTATTATAAGAATAAGAGTTTGCCATTCTATTTTAAAAGTTATTGAATTTCAGTCTAGATGCCCAATAATGCACCGAATATACTCTTCCAAGGCGTTAATCGTTTCAATAGACTTAGACATGCGACTTCACAAAAGTTTACGAAAAACAGTCTAGCGGTGTTAAATCGCACGATCTTAGAGGACACAACAAAGGTCTACAAAGCGAAGCAAAATAATGCGTTCAAAAGAAAGTTTCCTTCAAAAAATTGGTTTGTTGCGTTGGATAAATAGCATGAGGCGTCATTTTTTTGGAAACTAGAAGTCCTCCATATGAACATCCTCCAGTTCAGCAACAAAACAGTCAATAATCATGCCTCTATAGCGTACCTTATATGGACCAACGATTCCGGCTGCCCATAGAATATATCAAATAGTGACTTTTTAACGATGTAAAGATGTCACAACAATGGCTGTGGAGTATCTTCACACCAAGCGCGGTAATTATTCAATGAAAAATTTGCTTTTTAGCCAAACAACGGGGTCGCTGGCTATCGCGTTTTTAGCCCTTTCATTGAACGTGCGACGTGGTTGCTTGAATTACCAAATAAGCATTAAAATAAATAAATAAAATAATTAATAAACAATAAATGTTTTGGTAATTTATATATAGTATATATATAAATATATATATATACATATATATTGGCTCTTTGTAACCGCTTAAGCGATTTTCGGCTGAGATCCTCCTACAATTTGTGGTTTTGCGTCTTGATGTTTTTCCAACAAATGGCTGATGGCTTTTTTTTTTGAAGAGCTTCATTTCACGCCAAGAATACACTCGAATGGCTTGACATTGCCCACCGGATGACGGATGACGGCAATTAGAAAAAAAGACCTGTCATCCATCATGCCGAGCACCATATAGAATTTATGGTATTTAAATTTAGTTTTAAAAATTAATTCTCTCATATGAACAAATCAGTTGTGTGGGGTCTATATGATAATATTTTCTGATTTCGTTGACTTTATGTATTAATATTTATACACACAAGGGGAACCGATCGTTCAGAAGATAAAGTTAACTTGCTACAGTGTCGTTAAACTTTTTAATTTTAAGACCATCGAAGAGTCTCCATTCAGTAGACTGCCAAAGACAAAGTTGAAATTTGCCAAATTTAAATCCTCTCTTAAATTTGTTAACAGACAAACCACTCGCCGAACCTGCTTGACCTTCCGCATTGAGTTTCAGACAAAACCAATTCAACTGGGCAAAGAAAACTATCGCTGTAATGGAAAACTATGAACTATGTGACCTTTCAGAAAATTGGGGAAAACACCTAACTCTAGAGCTGACGAAAAATCACAACGGATTTTTCGGCCGAGCTTCTTCCCAAATGTGTGGGACAACCTCCAGTTTATTCTCTGAGCCGCCTTCGAACGGCCGAAGAATTATTAGGAGAACTTTTTATTTCATGTCATGGTTGACATTTTCTACCGCAGTTAGAAAATTCAATTTCGGATTCTGTGTATTTTTAGTAGAGGATTTATCGGCCTTCGAGAATAGAACGTGGATTTATGTAAGCCAGCCCAAAAAGTGGACTGTCATCATTTTGATCACGAAAATGAAGCTGAAGATTACTTTCGTAATAAATAGTAGGTACTGCGTAGCGGTTTTGCGAAATGATTAATGCGCTTCTGTTTTCTTCTTTTTTTTTTAATGACGAAGATATTCTTTACACGATTATAGCTGCTCTTTGGTGCCAATTGGAAATATAGATCATAGCTAGGGCCTTCTCTACCTGGTTTTCCAATGCTTCAATTACCGGACATTGCAGCTCTTGTTTCTCTTAACTACGTCGTCGCCGTATATCTCGTTCAATCGGCTGTGGTATTCACCGTTTCCAGCGCTACTAAGAGCGCTTTTAAGAGCTACTTTCATATAAACTCAAATCACTCCCTAGAACAGGCTCTACATAAATACTGAAATGTTCTAAGAAAGTTGGAGTTCTGCTCTCTCTATCGCTTGATGGGCCTTTTAAGTCGAGTATAAATGAGTTTGACCTCCGTTCTTGCCACAGATCGATGAAATAAATACACAAAAATATTACTTTAAATGCAAAAAAATAATAAAACTCTTATTCATTTTCCTTTCTGTATAGCTCAAGCAAAATCAATTGATCAAACCACTGAACCGTAGCAAAATTGGCTAGACATACATATGTAAGAATAATTGAAAAGGAAAATGACTAACAATAGCTAAAGCAAATAATATGGGTTTGTAAAAATGGAAATATATTTTGTAGAACTCCGCGAAATATTGAGTGAAAAGAATATTCAGCAAAAAAAAAGAAGCAAAAACTGCGGAAATATTATCAGCTTTGCGGAAATGGCGAAACTTGCAGAACGACCTAAACAAACGGGCTGCTTTACAAGCGGAAAATGACGAAGCAGACGCTGAAAAAAGCTCAGCAGACACACAAAACGCAGACTGTCTGGCAGGAGAGACAGACAGGGAGGCAGGAGTTTGATGAAACTTTGCTTAAATGATAAAATTCATTTTACGAAAGCCCCAAAACTCTTTGATTTTCGCAACGGAAGAAATTTGTTTTATATAAAAGAACAGAATTAATCAAGTGAAAACAGGGAAGAATAGAAAATAATGGAACGAGAAATGCTTTTTTTCCCCAAAAACAAAAAAAGAAATGCTAAAATTTGAAAATATTAAAAAGACAACTTTTAAAGCAACAAAAAATTAAAAAAAAAAAAAAATATTTTGCTGAATTTTTCTCGAAAAATACAAAAAGAAAAACAAACAGACCGGCGAGTGAAATTCGCAAACATTGCACGACAGTAAACATGAAAATATGCGGGGTGCAAACAATAAACTTTCGCTTCCGGCCGGCAAACAGCGACACACAAACATGCACACATATGCAAACTTGCATACATACATAAGGATGTACATATTTACGTACATGTTGACGACAAACAGTCCAGCTGCATTGACGCTGGTCTGCTGCATTTCCGCGCACTGAATTGATGAGCACCGATGCGCCGGATATGGCCGCACAATGCAAAAGGCAGCAAACGGAAGGAGCAGGATGGATGCATCAAGGAGTTATGTGAAGAGATTGTATAGCAATGTTGCAAGCGGTGGTTGCAGTGGAGTACATAGTACGAGTTTATTGAGGGACATTTATACACGCTGGCCAGTTGGCTATTTCGAGATATGGACGCGCCGCTTTGCTGCTCCCGGTCACGTAATCAAGCGAATATTGTGTGCCGATGAACATTTTGACAAAAGTGCATCCACACACACTTACACCTGTTCATCTCCCCATCGGCGTTCTCTACTCTATTAGTATATTCATCAAGCGTCTACTTGCGTTGACTCGCCTCAGCCCCAGACACAGATGTAGACGTTCTACCTATTTGTGCGTTGCGCTGGGCGAGAGTCAAACAGTTTCATGCTATTTCCGTTTCATATTAAAGTAACATTAAAATTTGCTCCCTATGGGCGGAAAAAAGGACAACAACAAAAATGCGTAAAATATGCTGATAGAAGCAATGCAGCGATTGCGGTCACAATACGATACGGAAATGCGTCTGACTGACCGGATGTGTGTGCATACACACCAACAGATGATGAATTGATGAACTGTTGGTCAGTGGAAGAGAGAGAGAGAGAGAGAGAGGCGCAGAGACACAGTGATAGTGAGGGACAGATCAGCCGTTGAATGACAAGCGAACAGGACAGGCGACATTTAAACGGTAGTGTGTGGTTGTGTGTGGGTATGTATAAAAGTGCAACATCATCACATTTTGCACGTGTTGATGTCAAACGATAACAGCATTCTCTCAGCAACAGCACACCCCCACTCCCGTATATACATACATAAGTACAGCAATGACTTGGCTGCTGTTGATGACATTGTCGATTATGTTCGTGTTCGTGTTTGACGACAGTGTAGTTTTAGTTGAAACTTCTGTTGAAACTGTTGTTGCTTTTATGAGTATTGTTGTTGTCTTTGCTGTATTTGCTCTTTTGTTGCACGTCAACGCCGTCATTGCTAACATTGAAAAGTGACAAGTGCAATGGACAAACTGCTGCCGGCAACCGAACTCCGTTTTTAGTGCACCAGCCATGTCGTATGAGTAATTTTCATTTCTAAACCCACAACTGGAGTGGTTGTAATTTTGTCAGTTGCATTCCACTAGCATATATTATATGTGTGTAGGCATGCATACTGGAAGGATAGCGCATAAGCGCATATCAGGGGAAGCGAGTTCGCATTATAAGGGCGGTGTGTGCAGTTACGTTTAATTAAAAACGTCCTCAGATTGTTGTTGTAGTCAAAATTCAATCATCAGAGTGTTTATTCGCTGTGGCTATGTGGTAGGTGGGCGAAGTGTAAAGTTTTGAAAAAACGACCAATAAAAAATAGACAAAATTTGTAAAGACTTTGTAGGCAGTTTTTGCTTCGATTCACAATAATTAAGAGTTATTAAATATTTGTTGTCAACGATTTTATAAATTTTAAGCACATATGTACAAGAGCTCTTGATACCCGGGTATAGAACACTGTGAGCAGCTTGACACTCATTCGACACTCGTTCGTTGCTCAACTGCTCAAAAAATTGTTTGAAATTCTTGAAATTTCGTTTTTATTTGTCAAAAGTTCTATAGTTCTGAAGCTAGCTTTACACTTTGCATAAATAAAATTAAGATTATAGAAGGAAGTTCTGGGATAAAGGGCAAATTTTTTATTCAATATGCTCGAAAAAGCTCAAATTAGTAGAGCTCAAACTCGAAAGTTTTCGAGTAATGAGCAATGAATGAATGTGCGTGTACT